TTTCTTTCTTCAATACTCTCATTGTCTTCGTCCCTTCGACTTCGACATTCGAGACACGAAGGAGTAAGGTGGGAGTTTGCATGTTAATACTGTTCCAACAATATCACAAACAAAACGATGGTAATTTCAACTTTTTTACTAGGACGAAGATATATATGCATAGAAAAACGTTTACGATCAAAACTAACAAGATGGCAAAGCTAAATTAAGCATACTCGTATATCTATTCGGCTGCTCTTGTATTTAGAGCTTGATTTTTATTACCATGTTGCACTGCAAAATGCCTCAGTTCGAATAATTATTCGCTAGTCGAAATCGCATTTGTAACCTGGTAGGGGCGCGTTTCCGAGGGAGGTGGGGGGGGGGGGGGGGGGGGGGCGCTTTTCCGAATCCAGCTAAGGTCAAATGCGAGCAATATTAATAACTGGTACTCTGTGCCTGTGCTGCTCCTTTCTTTATTTCGCCCATGTACTTGGGCGTCTCATTTGTGATTTTCTCTCCATGGCCCAGACTATATATTTAGCACGTTGCTCGAACAGCACGCCGCTTTTCTGCTTCGGCGTTTTTATTTGAATGCAGAGATACAAATAAAAAAAAAAAAAAAAAGAAATAGTATGCATAACTTGTCAACTCATTCAGATCATCAGCAGCATTGATTGTGTGGCGTAAACCTATCGTGACGCTCCTGCAAGTGAGGCCACATCTCTTTATTTTCAAATACCAGCTGTGATTTATGCGCTGCCTGCCCTGTCAACCATGCCTGAAATATTGATTGAAGTTTTGCCTGCAGCTACAGGCCATACCTGAATAACACGTCAAATGAAAAATCACACTTCTTACGAAAAACGCACAGAAGCAAAAGTAAATAGAAACGGGCGCGCCGACAGCTGACGTCGTCACAGCCTCCACAAGGCGAGCAGGGCGAGTCGGGGAAAAACTCTGCCCTCGGCATGATGTCCCTCCGGTTCGCCATTAGGGGGCGCAACGCAAACTTCTCGAGGGGCCTTATTCTCGAGGCTATATTTGCGACTAAACGAGCTTCGACGTGCCGTGTTGAGATAGCGGTGCTGCTCGCGTAACTAGAAAATCAACCGGTTTTGAAATTATTTCGCCGACACAAATTTTCATGATCCGTGGTGTAGTGAATATTCGCGGGACAAATTTTTCGTGAATATGAAATCACGAAATTGGCGAAACCTAAGTCTTTATGAAAATCAAGCTGTTTCCCGTATACTCCGTTCCACATAACAACGCAGACGACAAAACCTACGGCTTCTGCGACCCAATGCGATCTGTCAGAGTCAACCATCTGTCCTCCCGGGATCGTATTGCCGCATAGCCGCGCCTCCGATGGCCATCGCGTATGAGAAGATAACTCGGCTACCTATAGGAACAAAAAAATAATGTAATCCTGAGAAAAAAAAAAAAAAAAAAAAAACTCTTTAGTAATGTAATTCCCTGGAAATTGATAAAATCATCGACCTAAATACCCAGAGGGAAGGACGTTGCTCTTGAAATCGCGTGATGTCAATTTTCCCGCTAAATTTAGCGGAGAAAGTGAATTGGTTCATAGGTGGCGTGACATCAAGTCATGTGACGTCATTTTCTCCGCTAAGTTTAGCGGGGAACTGAATTGGTGTTGACGTCACCTGACGTCAATTTTCCCGCTAAATTTAGCGCGGTTACGGCGACGCTAACGCCGCGAAACCCAGAAACGGGCGCCTAAGAGCGGCGCTCTTTAAAAATGACTGGCTGAATGGCGCAAGTCGCCGCTCGATTCAAAGGGTTCAACCGCATTTACCCTTCCATCCATCCATCCATCCATCTAGTATATACACTAATGCGCGGCTTTGACGTCATGCCTCTGCGGTGGCGCTGCTGTCGGCACAGCGCATGCGCAGTCGTGTCGTTTCATGCAAATCTGCTTTCTGCGCACGCGCAGTGCCCACGCCTGGTGTGGGCAAACGCTGACTTGTTTGTAAACAGCTTGATGGGCTATGCAGAGCGCAAGTTCGTCTGCTTCTTGCACAGGGGTCGCGACGATGTCAGAACGCCGAGCTCTTATTGGCTGATGGAATAAAAAAATGGTGGGTTGACCTTGGGGTATCTAGCATTGTGGTATACCCACTATCCTTCCACACCTTGAGATTTTCTGTGATGCACTACATTTCTTCACCACCAGACCGCGGCACTCGGCATTCTTCCAGTGTGTTTTACCGACTCGTGCATCTCTTCTGCACCCTGGCTCGACCTTGGGAGCATACTCGGGCGAGGAGCCATCCCTCATCGACTTCAGTCGACAGCGTCCGTCGTGTCCGCTTGTTCAGATGGCCACTTTGTTTGCTCTGCAAAGCTGCACTGGCACGATGCGTCGATGCGCCGCCATTTGGATTCTGCTGCTTCTATGAGTTCGAGTGTTCCTTCCTAACTATTATACCACTTGGTCCTGGGTGCACACAGCATAGTGAGTAATTTAGAATAATTGACCCCATTGTAAATGGAAAAGTATTTTGACATGTGACCCAAGACACCTGACGTCAAATTTTAATGAGAGATATCGAGGACTTGTTATATTTAGCACTTCAACTTCTGAGTTTCTTTCAACTTTAAACAAGAACAACAACAACACTCTTTTGGAGTCTTCAGAGCGGTAAGCCTCACAGCGAAACGTCGACTGTAACTTGACTTCTAGTGACTCTTTTGCAGATTCTTTCATCAGCTTCGAACACCTTCGTATTCTACTTCAACTTCGCTGTAAGTTGACTTCTAAATTCTGACCCGTGGTATATGTGCCAACTATGAATGCGTAAATGTCTTTTTGCGTCTTTCACTGCTGGGTCCCATGAAACCAAGAATTAAAATAAAAGTAATGCGACGCGTGGGTCAGCATCAATTGCGATCACCTGGGGGCATTTTGTTGTGCAGCCAAAATCTCGGATACACGTCTCCTTACCCGCAACAAGCCACATTCAGATCGGGGGTACCTTGCTCGGTATTCTAACCCGCTACCTGGGGATCTGAATAAACTACATACTAAAACCCGAAACGGAGAAAGTGACCCCCAATTGGCCGCCGCCATGTTGCACAGTTTTGACCACTAGACACGTGACCTTATAAGTTTACGTCTGGATTTTAACGAAATGCCGCGCACAAATATTGCTCATTGATCTTTAATAACAGTAGCACCAGGATAAGCTATGTTTAGTTTGTTTTCAGTCCAAAATTTGCTCTTACGACAAAAACTCGGGCAGCTTCACAATGCCTTCACTAGATTCCGTCAATCGCGGTGCTGCATTTTGGGTTTTTATTGGAGCTATAGACACTAATCTCTGGAGCTAACAGCATGGAGAAAATAGTTTATCGTGTGTCTTACAGCGATCGCAATACAATTCTCGGCTCAGTTTTGCGTAAAAGCCTCAGGATTTGGGACGGTCGCGTGTCTAATGGTCAAAAGTCTACAACATGGCGGCGGCCAAGGGGGGGTCACTTTTGCCTGGTGAACGGGATACCAGTTTATCACTCCAAGCCCCTTTCCCTCGTTGTGTGTGTGTGTGGGGGGGGGGGGGGACTTTTCTATTAAGACGTTGTGTTTGCCTTCCCTTTCTTTTTCTGCCTCCGTCTCGAGTTTTAGTATGTTGCTTAGCAACCTGCTCGCCTGCTTAATAGCGTTGTCTTCAATCAGAATGAAGTACACTGATTTATTGGTGGAACTGGAGGCACGTTGCGCGATATTAACAATTTAGGTCTCATACGTTTGCTGTGTCAAAACGTGTGAACGGTTTCATTCATTCAATGTTTTATTCAGACAACATACATCAGACAGTTGTCTAGGGGGCCGTCGCAAAAGGCAACTAAATGCCTGACGAGGCGTTGACCCCTCCACCCCATCCACCCCCCCCCCCCCCCCCCCCGCACATCACTCAGCGTGGCACACAGGAAGGTAGAATAATGAAAACTTGCGAAACGTAAGCAACCATATGAAAACCATAAGCACAACAGTGCACACGGGATAGCACTGCATAAAGGTCAAGAAAATAACAAATAACTTGCTTTGATAAAAAAAAAGAGACATAAAACATGACACAGCCCATATCATAACACTCTAAAAAACAAATAAAACAAAAATGAGAACATAGTCACTCTTGATATGACAGAAAGTACATATTCATGTTTCTTTTTAAAGCCTGAATTGATACGCTGCCTTCGATTATAGCCATCAGATCAGGATGGTCATTTAGAAGGATGGGGATTTCGTTAGATAGTTTTTGGTTGCCGTAGTTTGTGCGTACTTTTTCTCTTGTGTAGTTTGTGGATCTAAGATTGTAAGTATGTTCTCACCAAAGGTTGTGGGATTTCCCTTGCTGCTACCCGTCTCGGAGAATGACACAGCACACCAGTTCAACAGCACGTAAACATTTAATGACCGCTATCGCCTGCGCCACGATCCCAACAGCCCCCGCGCATCCGCTGCGACGGCCTTTTATCAGCGGCGGAGCGCCGCTCGCGTGGCCAGTTGCCCTTGGCCCCCTCGTGGTCAAGATGACCACTTATGATTGTCGGAGGGGCAGCCTGGGCCAACCGCTTGGAATCGCCAGGTTGCCCACAAGGTACAGTTGAAAGAAGGCTGTTGGCTCGGACTTTATTTGATTATAGATGATTAAAGAGAATTTCTTTTTTATAACATTTTCCAATGTTAATAACTCGTGCTTTCTGAAAAGCGGAGCAGTATGACTCCTGTGCGGTGCATTTTCTATTAAACGCAAGACTTGCTTTTGCAGTGTGTATAGGCTGTCTATATTTGTTTTTGTTGTCGTTCCCCATGCAAGTAGGCAGTAGTTGAAACGAGAATGGACCAATGCGTAGTATAACTGTTTCTTTATTCGACGTGGCAATAGATGTCTAACTCTACAGATAAGACTAATGGCATGTACCCCTGAACATTTCTTACAGAAGACCAACCATGAGCATGACTTTGCTTGCTTTCTTCGCCGTCTGGGTTCACTTGACCTGTTCAACAAACGATTCCCGCAACGTGGATCTTCCTGCCAAAAGTCCGGCAAGCATGCCCTCGGAGCTGTCTCTGCTCAAGAGCATGCTGGGCAATGTGATACCCGTTGTGCAACGCTCTTTCTCGCAACCGAACGTGTCACGACCGTGCACCGGAGGGCTTCTCGCACTGTCCAGGGGCCTTCTCAAGATGGACATCGCGGCGTGGAGGTGTAAGTTCTCAAAATATCTTAAAATCACGGCATATTTTTTCATTAGTTATCTTAGTTCTTTCTGTTTTCCAATCTGAGCTTTGAAAATGCCCCCCGACATTAACAGCAATGTAAAGCTATTAAAGCGGCAGACAAGGCAGGCCATTCGATTACTTGACAGCGACAAAAGACAATCCTATAAGCGTTCCCAGGCACCGCTTATTTAATTTAGTGAGAAAACTCTGACTTCAGAGCGGGAAGTTCACCATTAGCTCTAGTAACAAAACAAATCATGAGCAGAATTTGTTTCGTCGAATTTGTCTAGCCTCCTCCCCCCCCCCTCCCCCCCCCCCCCCCCCCACACACACACACACACACACACTTTTGAGGAACACATATCTGACGCCACTGAATCTAAAAGTAATGTCTAAGTCTTGCAAACGGCCCGCGGCCCGCTTCTAGCGGACTTGCAGCTATCGGCGCAAAAAAGTGCGCCTAAAGGATGGTCGCCGCGACGCGCTCCAAATGCGCAAACGAAGATACAAGAACCAGAGAAACTGCGCATAACGCGGGTCCTCTCGTCATATCATTCATTGAACATTGTCAACACCAGCGTCACCAATCTTGGTCCCCTGTTTCATGTCTGTTTAACTATGTTAAAATTTCTTTCATTATCACGTGTCCTCTCTATTGAAAATTGTCAGCATTAGTTTTATCATTATCCTTAATATTTTGCACTGCGCGAATGTGCTAAATTCCCACGTTTTCTGATTTATGCCTGGGGAGTGTTCTTGGCCACAACTGTCCTGTCATAATCAGCTGTATTAGATTTCAAGTTGAAGTATATATATTCATGAACCTTAGTTGCTTTTTAATACTTACTTTAACATTGATTGTTGTGTCTAAATTCTTATCTAGGTTTACTTATTTAGTGTTTTTTGTTTGATCTCGTTTATAATTACTTTTTTTTTCCGGCCCTCGTTACTGCGACAGATACCTAATCAGGCCCCTTAGCCACAAAGTTTGGAGACTCCTGGTCCAAAGGAACGAAAATAAAATAGGGTCTTATTTCCTTCCAGTTCTGGACGCCACCGGGAAGTTCCCGTCAGGACTGTTAGAAGGGTCCACGGCTGATCTGGGCGCTTACGACGAGTGCCTGGCTTCCAGGATCGAGATTTCCGAGTTCAACAGCGACTCGTTCAGCGGCCAGTATTGCAGCGTATTTTTTAGGCCACAAAGGTCGAAGGTTTTGGACCGCCTGATTCTCCAACTGACCCGGTACCCAGTCGTTAGGGTCAGTGCGAGGAGAAAGTTCAAGTTGTTGCTTGAATATCTATGCAGCACGAAGATGTTTTAACTCGAAATGTCTTCACAATAACCGACTAAACACGAATAGTACCTGTGATTACCGTGAAGCCCATCCTTATCATGAAGTACTCGGCAGCGGTTATATACTATATGGACGCCGGTGCGACGTTACTTACATCGACTGGTAGGAAATATGATCCGCGAGTCTGGCTTCGTGGCTTCGGTTTGCAGCGGGAGTCGAATCTTGATGTAATCATCGATCGTTCAAATGATCAGCGAACGAACCCATCCAGTTCATTCTAAAAGAAGCGTATGTCTATAGGCTCGTGTAGGGAACGCAAGGACTAAACGGAAGACTCCAGCGAATGACTAAGATTACGTTTAAACCTTTAAAAAAAAAAAAAGTGTTTGGCAAGGAGGCAATCGACAGGTGAAAAATCACGGTCATTGTTCCTGCGGCTATCGCATTTTTCAGGTCTGATCGCGTTCTTGGATTTGTCGTTGCGTAAAGCAGGACGTGAAGAGTCAACTAATCTTATGATTGCTTCGCAGCTAATGCCGCAAACTATGCGGCATTAGTTGATATGATAAATAATCTGTTAAAGGAGTCACCAAAAAAAAAAAAGTGTGAACGTTATAAACTACACTTGGCGTTTTCTTGTTTTAAAGCTGTCGGTGATTATGGGATTTTTTTTTGTTCGCAGTGATTTTTTTGTTTGCATGTTTTGCAGTAAAATAGCCACATATTTGTTTAGGATGTTGGGTCAAAAACCTACGCTAATTTCACTGGAAACTTTTAAAAATTGAAACAGCCTTCATTCGCCCTTGATAAAAGAAAAAAAAATCCAGTAACACTTTGGGTGTTTTTATTTATTACTTCGGGAGAGTAACAGATTTGGCTTACTAACGGAGCTCAAAAAAGGCGTCAAGATTGCGCAACAATTTAACCAGCTTTTTTAAAAAAAGACGACGAAATCGCTTTACTAATTTTGTAGACCCAATCAATTAAAAACCCAATGAAAATCATCTGTAAGACTAAGCGTTTAAAGAAATGCTGATTATTTTTTTTTTTTTTTACAAACCCGTTATTTATTATTGTCTATGTATTATTTCTGAATGAATATTTTGTGCGGAAAAGAAGCTTGTTGATTGTCAATATTTGTTTTTGACTGTTATATAGTAGTGTTATGTATAGAAATACAACGCAGTATGTAATACTAGGTATTTAACAAACATGGCTCCGAGTCAGAATTTATAGCGCGCAATGTCAACTCCACTGCTGGCATGTTATTATTCTAACTTTGAAGGTAATTTGGCATAACAGAGATTCGCCTCGGCGTTCATTTAAGACTTTTCACGATCTTGAACGTGCTTTCATTTCAGTTCGGAGCGTAGACTTAAACGAGCGAATATTTATGCCAAGGCCATTAAAGAGAAATGTTCTCGCTTTACAGAAGAGATTCAACTTAACTACGGTGCACAAAGCTCTCAAGAAAGGAAGGATTCATGGCTTGAGGTTCGGCCTCTGCGTCCCGTCTGTCTGCAAAAAGGCTGAAGTGGAGCTGGTGCTTGGATCACGTAAACATTCGTGCAGTATTATTATTATTTTTTTAAGTGATATATCAAATCGCTACCTAATATAAGCGGAAACCCTCTCGTTTCTGTTCTATCACGGGCCAAAGCATGACTAAAGATAATCGTAACAATGATCAACTAAATTGTAAACATAGGTACGCCTTTTATTGATGACGATTTTTAGAGCATCATTCCTGTTGTCTTCGAGAATTTTTACCTCCCGTGATTTTAGCATACTTTTAGTAGGCGGCTACTGTTTAGACACTTCAAAAGTTGGCAGGTTTTTGCCTATTTTTGACGGCTGAAATTTTTACATGAATACACACAAACAGTGGTAGTTTCATTAGAGACCCTTTTAGGACGGGCTTTTGTGAAGGGAAACATTTGATAATAATCTCGAATTAAGAAAGTGTCGCAGTTAGTGCTTGTGCTACCTGATTAATAAAACAAAACGTATTCTAGAAAAGCGCGATAATTACGGAATTTGGTTAATCCAACAAAATATGGACATGTTTCCGGAGATTTTCGAATGTTTCTGAACACTGACTCAATTTTTTTTGCTTTCACAAGCATTCTTGATAATCATCTCCAAGGTTCTCAATGATCATGATCCTCCTGTACCTTCCATGATCAACCAGCTGGGGCATCTTAAACCTAGTATACATTTAATCATAATGAGTATTTAATTCATTTATTGACAACTGATGGTTTGTACCTCAGTAACTCAGATGATGGGCGTGACATCGTTCGTGGCTGGATGTCGGTCAGATGAACCGGAACAGTTGAATGCCGTTCAGATCGCCTTTGTGTAAGTATGCATCATTTCAGACCCTTCCGCATCGACGAAAATACCTAAAGTCATTTTATGCGGTATTTACGAAACCATTTTTATTAATTACAGCGCTGTATTCGGCGTCCTGCTTTTCCTATTGACTGCTGGAACCTTGGTAGACACGTTCTCAAGGATGCATAACAAGCCTGCGTCGGATGATAAGCGCCGAAGTGCTGGTAACTGTCTGACATTTTCCGAGTGGCCAGTTATCTGATAGATAACTCGAGATATAAGGTATTTGTAACGGCAGCTGCTGATACAGATCGCAACACCTGTAGAATTTCTCTCACGGATGCGTATGACTCAGTGGATCCTTGAATACAGGAGCGGAAGTAGAAAGCAGCAAACATTGTCAACCTGTTGGCAGTTACCTCTTTTACCAATTAAGGGGCGAAGACGCTTTTAACGGTGAACAAAGGAGCGCGCAGTTGAAGAGAAATCGAGATGCAAAAACAAAGAAAGTTACTTCGTCCGTTTTATGCTGATAATTCAATAGGGATAGAGCCCTTTTGAAAGTCTGCACTCTGTTTTAAGCTCTTGAATTCGTGCACAATGACGGGCGCAAAAGACACTGCAGCCAAGTGTGGCAGTGTCTTTTGTCAGAGCGTCGAAGTCAGAGCGCTGTCAAGGGCTAGAAGACGTGCAATCGCATGGCCATAAGCTAAACACGCGACGTCACGGTGCACTTTCTACATTTGGTCAGATTAGTTAGAAGGCATGCACAGACCCTCAGAAAAAGTAAGAAACTGAGTGGCGTAGCGCTTCCGGCACGGTTTGATCGGCACGTCGGCTCCTATAGAGTTCGTTGTATACCATTATATCTATTCAACACCTTACGTAATGAATTGCGTTGCACGTTCCGCGCTCTCGGTTGTTCCACATTGTGCAGTGGTAGCGACCATCTAACAATCGGCACGTGACTTTCGAAGGGGGTCTACGAGCCGAGAAAGTGAGGGAAAGGAGGAGACAGCGGCGAGCTCTGGTTCGATAGATTACAGGGTGGATCTAAAGCTAGCTAGCTGCCTCTGTCTCTACTCACCGTTCGAATGCGTTCGGACGCCGACGTCCGGCGTCGGGCGTTCGCGTTCGAAGAGAAGTTCAAGGAGATGCCCAACTTCCAGGGTAGCCTCCTCCTTCTGACGTTGGTGACGTGAAGCCTCTGAACGCTCCGGACTTGTGTCTAGGTGGTGTTGATAGGAACAAGTGCTGGTGTGTGGCCGAACGAGAGCCTTTTAGTGCGCCGTGAGGTTAGTTTACGTATTTACGCATCCAGCAAAGTAATACTACGATAAAAATGTTAATATTGTTATTATTATTATCCCCAATAATATCATTGTTCAATCATACAGTATTATAATTTATTATTATGCTCCCCTTTGCATCGGGTGCATCGGGTTTGATCAACAGTGGATTCTGGGTCTAGCCAGTCGCCTCCTGTGCGATTTACTAGATTTGAGTGTTTCGAACTGCTCGATCGGGCTCACGTAGTCGCGTTTGCAGCATTAACAGTCTCCAAGCGTCTCCGAATTTCCGTCCGCTTTCCTTCTTGCCACGCGACAATGCAATGCATGCGCACGTGTAAACGCTCTCTATAGTTTCAGTTGCTCCCGCTCTTAGAGGTGTGGTGCAACGACTTTCGGACTTTGGCCAATTAACTGCGGATGTTCATATGTGCCACCTATGGAACGAAGAACAAAGAACCGTATTTTCTCGCGAGCGGTAGTTTTTATTTAAAAAAATAAAACAAATCGAAGGTCAAAATGCCTCTCAACTCACCACGTCGCCTTTCGAGTGACGTGCTCTGGGGGATCACGGGGTTTCCCCTTGGATTCTCTCTCCAAAGACCCCAGCCGCTTCCTCCGCTATTGTCGACTTTTAAAGCATTAGCACCGTCGAAGGTCGCGGCAAGTGATCGACACAAAAGACGGTTTGCAACCGGGCCGATGGCGAGTGTAGTAGCGGACGGGGACAGGTTTTGTTGACTTCCGCGTATCCCCTAGAGACGCTGTCATCGTAGTTCTCGTAATCGCCACACGCGGCTGCAGATTGGCAAATAATTCTGTATTTTATTTGCGATTACGCAGCGGAATAGCAGTTTTTCGGGGCAAGATGACGCGTTTTTGGTCACTTGTGCTTGGACAAACAATATAAAAGATACAAGCTGCCAATTCTTTAAACATTAAAATCGTTGCACTACCCATTTAAATATGAGCTCTCTAAGTACGCGGTGTGTCTACGTCGCCTGCTTAGGCTTCCTTGGTGCGTTTTGTGTTTGGTGCTCGGCGTTTGACTTCGTCTGCCCGCGCTTCGCCTCGAAGATTTGTTAAAATGACCTGCTGTTGGAAGTATCGATGTAACAGGATGAAAAAAACCTGTAGGGCTTGTTTTGTTTATGAAGTACCCGCTGACACTGATTTGAGAAAAAAGTGGCTTGCCGCGATTCGGCGAGAAAACTAGACATCGCTTGCGACTTCGTGCTACACTAAGGTATGCGGCGAGCAGCAAAACGCGGGTGCTTCTTCCGGGATAGCGGAACGTTTAAATATCAAATAGGGCAATCAGAGCGCCAGAATTCCCTCATGGCCACATGCGCGGGTGGCACGGCGCTAGTACACCGATTCAGCGCTAGCGTACCACCCGCGTATTCGGATTACCCAGAACTGATGGATTACATGAAATTGCGGAAATGCTTATAAACTAAAACAAACTACCTTTTGCGTAGGACGTTGGACGGAATGCATGACAGCTTTCTCCGCAATCAGCAACACGGAATCGCTCCTGAAGGCCACATCCCCAGAGCTGGTCTGCTTCAAGTGCCTCAACGGATTGCGCTTCTTCTCTGCCGTCTGGGTTATCCTCGGGCACAGCTACAGCGTCCTCGATCCACACATTCTGGGTTAAGTGAGCCCCTTGGCCGTTTCGCGAACGTTGCTGCCTTTCATCGGAAAACATAATGACAGTTCAAAGGTACACCCGCCGGCAATATGAAGGTGAACACCTTACCTGATTTCTTGGCTGTTTTACGGCTCCCTAAAACTATATTAACTCTCAACATCTCAAATGCTACGTGGCTTGGGGTCTATACTTCGCGTTCTAGCCTTCTTCTGGAGCAGAGCTTGTTCCAAAACATGCAGGAGCGTCAGAAACAAGAAGAGGGCTGTTCACCTTCATATCGCTCACGAGTGTACCTCACCCAGTTCACACATAATACAATCGAATATATTATTCGAGACACCGTTAAATAATCGCACTGTCACTGCTTTCATTAAACAAAGTAAAACGTAAACATAATGCCATTAGGTGTTTTAACTGCTTCCACAAAGAAAAATATCATCACTCAAATTTTGCTAACCTGATTTATCGACCGGTCTGGGCCTATTTGATTTGGGTGATTAGGTGCTTATGTAAACGTAAAAGCTTCGTAGAGAAAATCACGAGCGATTTTTGTTGTTGTTAATTCGAAAGATCTTCTTTTCTGATTAAATGAACGAAGAAACCAATAACGAAAAAACTTATCTGTGTGTCTCAGTTATCTTGCTTTATGAACGCTGAATTTTTAGCATGCTCATTTTATATATTATGATGATCGTGTGAGTGATTTGTTTCAATGTATTTAAATCATACTTTGCGCAACCTTACCGGCTGTTTCAGTGCAATAGAAAACACCAGCCACGAATCTGACACCGCTTGCATATATTAACCTTCGCTCACTTAGACGTGGGAATCCTGGAGTACACCTGGGCAATCCTTCAAGCATGCACGAGTGTCCAGGTGTGCGTGAATTACCGAGCCCATAAGCAAAACATAAAAAAAAGAAACTGTCAGCCTTTCCACTCTGGTGAAGAGGGAAGACCAGCGGAGCTGTACAATGGAAAGTAATGGCTGGCCGCAAGTCGGCAAGCCAGAGTGGAAAGGCTGCCGCCATCTATGAGCGACGGCGGCAACCAGATACGTGACTTTCCGGCTTCGCTCATAGATGGCGGTAGGTGTCCAGAGTTCGGTGTCTTCATTTCTTTGCGGGGGACACAATTTTGGGGAAACTAGCCCTTAACAGCTCCGCTGTAAAAAAACTTCAGTTACTCCGTTCAAGTCCTTCTGTCCGTTCCTTTACAAACGACTGCTACACTATAGACCGCTTCTGACAATGTTTTCCGTTTGCGGATTGCAGGGCGAGGATTGGGAATTTTCGAAATGACCCACGAGATTCTCTTCTGCATAATCTCCAATGCTTACCCCAGCGTAGAAACCTTCTTTGTTATCAGGTAACCTGACGTAATTTCTTCACTCCCGAGCACGAAAGGTGCGGTCTGAAAAGTGAATAGCGTAAGAAACCCGTGCAGTCTCGAATGAACGCCCTTCCCCGAAATATCGCCCACTATTAAGGAAGTTTAATAGATCGTTCCCATGACTCCGATAACGATACCCGCGGTACTCCGCTGACAACTTTGCGCACGCATTCTACCGTTATCGAGTATCGTTATTGGGACCATCGGAGGTATCGGAACGATCTACTAAAACTCTGTACTGGCGACGTTTCTCGGCGGATCCTATATGTGTTTCTTCATGTCGGGGCCCGATAAAATTTGCGGGAATTTAGTGTCACGTGACGTCATGGAACCGCGTGACATCACAGTGTCTCGCAAAGTCATGGCTTTACGTGACGCCACGGTGTGAAATGAACAACGTCCACTAAATTTGGCGGGGCGCCAGTCCACTAAACTTAAACGCGGTACTGTAACTGTGTGTAGCGCTGAGACTGTTACCGCAGTTGATCTACAAGACGCGGTGAAGAACGGTAAATTTTATTTCATTTTTCTTTTATTCCTTAATCGTGGGTGGGCGTTTATTCGGGATTTTACGATAATACAATTAACCAAATGCCAAAAAAGTTTTTTTTTTGTTTTTATTTTTGTTTTTGTCCGTTTTATAAAAAAAAGAATATAAATATAAGTTGTGGATATATTGTTGCACTATATATCTGCTTTTGTTTTCTGGCACGGAGTTAAAGATGCAAGAGGGTGCTAGTTTAGGCAGGTTGTATGTACTAATACGATTACTTTTCTCGTTCGCTTCAATAACGTGACAAAGGTTTCCGTTTCGCGACTTCTATCTACATGTTTTCCTTAAGGTCTAAGTTTTTCTCTTTTTTTTTTACGGTTTGACAATGATGACGTTATAGTTTTATGCTGCAAATTATCTTTAAAAAAAAACGGAGAGCAAATTAATTGATTTTAGGAGCCAGAAAGACACATTTGGGCACTTCGATTTGACCGGCCCCTCTTTTCCTGAGCGCGTAATTAAATGGGAAGTTTGTTCTAGAGTTTTGAGGCAACGTAATACTTTAATATAAGTTATAACGCAGAAGGGGATCGCGTAGTACTATGGTGATTTTGACTGTCGTGCTCGGCGCTGTTTTACGTGCTATTAAAAGGTATAGTTCTAGTATTAAATAAACGCTAAAAATGTCGCGTAGATAGGATAACATTTGTTTTCTGTCATAACATATGAATACAACTCCGCTCAACTAAGAAACCTGTCGCATAAATGTTGTTTCTTGAATTCTCACTCTCTAGGAAATGTTGGCTCATTTTTTTGAAAATTACGCGCCATAAGTATTTTCGAAGGGAGTCGCGTGCAAGTGCCTGTATTTTAAATAACTGCAAGTATGGCGCCCCGGCTGGTGCCCCATGTGTTTCAGCACAAGCAGCGACATGGCGACCGTCATATGCTCTGGTTTCAATCGTGTATAGAAATAAAACATATTGTTTAAGCTTAATGGTTCAGACTTAAATAAATATCTATAAGAAGCCTATCACCGTTGGACATGCGCGTTCCGCTTCATAAGAACGCTTCGTACATAATTATTTTGTTGTGCATTATCCCGCATCTAAGGTGCGTTCTTTGCAAGTTTGATTATACACTTCTGAAGTACCACTGTGTTATTTTTTACAGTGGCTTTCTTCTGGTGCATAACCTCCTTCCGAAGCTCAAGGAACAGCGCCGAAAATTGACGGTGCTTCTGATTGTCGAAGTTCGACGTTACATCAGGTGCGTTTACGCCGACTGCTCACACCTGGGAGTGACCCCTTGTGTTCAGCACTTTGACAACAACGTAAGATTATGACGTTCGACGACGCTTATACGCAATGACGAACTGGCTTTGGTGACCGGTTTTACGGCTTATGCCGCGCAATTATGTTTGACGCGCTTCCATAGTGCTTGCGACCAAATTTAGTTTTAGCAGAATCCCCTCCCGACTTTCTTATCGCACATGAAGCGTGTTTCAACGCTTCGAATATTACAGTTGATCCCGTTGTTAACCGATGACAACCTCTGCAAACGCCCGCGGCTAAACTCCGTTTTACATTTTCAGGTTTCATACTCCGTTTCACATTTTCCGTTTTTGCTCACCCGATAGGGTAAGATAGGCCCTCCGGTACGAACTGCGCATGCGCCACACCAGAAGACTTGCGCATGCGTAGTTCGTACCGGAGGTCCCATTGTACCGTATTGGATGTGCCAAAACGGTTCCCTAAAACTCTCTCAATTCGGGCCGTATCGCCATCGCTACGAAACGGCGGAGCCAATCAGACAGCGCCAAAAGTGCATCGTCATGGCACTTGTCCGTCGTCTTTGTACGTTAGTTATCCCCGACCAAACCAATCGCGCGCAGTGAATCCGCCATGATATTGTGTCCTTTTCTGGACCTGTTTGGTTTACCGGTCATAGCGAACCCTCGGACTATAGAGGTAGAGTTTAGGCGGTTCGGCGCTTGCGGAAGGCATGCTGTTCGCCCCGAGGATAGCTGTGCTCTCTTCTCCGTCAAGGATCACGACTCCGATGATGTTCCTGCTGGGCCTGATCTTCTTGTTCCCGTTGCTGGTTCACGGTCCGGCCGCGGACGAGTGGCTTCCCGTCAAAATCGAGAAGTGCTACCGGAACTGGTGGGCCATTCCGCTCCATTTTAACAACTGGCTGACGCACAAGGACATCGTGAGTCGCAACTGGGGCACATGATGCCCGTAGCTGAAACACGTCAACTTCGACGGAACCGCCGGTGGAACGGACCTTTCCTTTCCAGAGCTTCTGCGCATGCACACGTCCTCTCCTCTGGCCTTTCTTTAGCTGTCCTCATTTTCGGATGACACCGTCCCGCACGACCAATTTGTCAGCACCTAACTGCGCGTATTTTGTCTTTTTTCTTTTTGTCGATTATGTTTCGTGAATCGGTAGTATTTGGCATAAAAAACAAGGCAACCGATGAGACGACATGATGCCGATGTGTTCTGGCGGACGGAGACATCTAGGAATGAATAAACGAATAAATAAAAAGAAGCGTTTATTGGGGGGGGGGGGGGGGGGGGGGAAGGCAGCTGCACTAGTACATGGCTTGACAAGAAAATAAAAATTTAAACGTTTTACTGAAGCCATTTTTTTATATAGGAGAGAAACTACGGATCTCAACAGTTGGACCTTAGTTTCGGAATCGCCTGTAGGCTTTATTCATGCTTGTATATCTATCGGCTCGTCTTGGGGGTCTGAAGTGGCAAGTGCTTCGTTCCTTTCCTTTCTGAACTGTTTGTAGCCCCATAGATGGCGGTCAGTATTTGGTGGTATCCTTTCTCTGCTGAAGATGCATTCTGGTGGTTTTGATGTGAATTCTAGATCCTGTCTAACCTTTTTTGTTCATGTTTGCCTTATCTTAAGGAGGTGCGGAGTTATTGCGCTGTCAGTCCTTGCCCTTCTCAGGAGAATACTTTGATATCTTCTGAATCCAGGTGGAATGGAGTCTTGTTCTTCGGGATGTCTCTTTTGTAGTTGATTCTTTAGTTGCCTCTTTGCCTCGTTTATGATGGCTATCCTGTTGGGTCATATTCATTATTCCGGTTGCTTGCTTCAACGAAGTATGGGTGATCTTGTAGAGATTGGCTCGCGTTGTCGGAAAGGATAGAACGGCTAAGTTCTTTCCCGAGTTGTAGGTCTGCTCTTCACTTATAGTTCGCAGACAAACAACCAGGCAGCGCTTGTTACTCGAAAATAGATGAGGGCTTTTCAAAAAAGAAAGTTTAATTTGAAAACTTGACATGATGATAATCACCTTGATCGCCATCATGTTCATCACCATTACTTTGATCACTTTGAACTACAGAGGCGTAGTAAGTGGCGGAGCGTGAATGGATAACTAATGGCGATCTTAAAATCAGAGCCCAGATATGTAAAAGCTTGCGTTGAAGTTTGGGGGTAATAAATATTAAACGACGTGTGAATTGAATTTTATGAATTAGGTACGTTTGCTTCAGGCTACATTTCTGAATGCATACAAGTTACTTTCAGACAAGGAATTAGCAAGTTTATAAACGCTTTCGTCAATCAATTTGATTCTCCCTTTTAGCCGGTTCGACTTTTTTTTTTCTCCTACCCTGTTTGTAAATGCTATGCGTGTTCTTGAAGTGTGCTGGACACCTGTGGTACCTGGCCTGCGATATGCAGATTTTTACGGTTGTGGCCCTGCTCTGTGTCCTGCTCGCAAAGTAAGTCACTCTGCGTAGTTTGAGAACAGTACGATTCTATGAGTGAGGCTGCATTTCGCGAACAACGGCACTCTGCTTATACTTCTAGAAACGTGCGGGTGGGGATAGCTGCCATGGTTGCCATTGCGGCCTCCTGCAACATCTTCATCGCTTACTTCACCCACTCGGCTCAAATTGGGCCGTCACGGGTCAGTTCCGGGGGAGATGTCACGTGAGTTGTAGCCTCACCTTTTCGCAGGCTTTGTCGTACGGGATTTCACAGCAAGCCTTCAAACTGTTTCTTCGCGCGTTTAGGAGGGTATGGAAGGTTTGGCACCTGTGTTTGCCCGGACGGGAGGTCAGGGACTCGAGAAACGTCCTGTGCGAAGTATGGATTTTGTCGGACCTTAACAGCCTACCAAATTATTTTCCCAGTATACTTGGGTATATTGGGAAAGATAACAGTGTTGGGAACTTCAAGTACGCTTAGAAAATGTATTTTACTTCAAGTACATTTCCTGATTACGTACTTGTACTTTACTTAAACTATTTTTTTTCTGGTACTTTTTGAGGAAAGTACAGCTACCAACTTTAAGGTATATCCCCAAATTTGGTATCGGTGAAATTAAGCTCTTTCAAGGATAACGTGCTCATGTCCCTGGCTTTCTCAGTAACGTTAAATACAATTTCTAAAGAAAGAAATATTGTCAAGTGAAAACGCGTTATCGACTTTCGAGACGTCATCCGGTCATTTCTCTGAGTTAAGTAGTGGTGACTATAAGACCGATACAATTAAGTGCCTTGTAAGTTGACTGTGTCAAATAGTTTGTCAGCGATAGTAAAACAACTATTCGGTGATCACTTGACTTCACCCATTATTCGCCGCAATTTCCGAAAGTATCTGATGCACCCCGGATTAACTCTGGGAAAATGCATACCAGGTAAAAAAAAAAAAAAAGACAGCGTATAGGCATAGGGGAATGAAAGGGCCCTATGAACGATAGTGTTAAAAATACTATTCTTTGAAAGTAAATTTGTACTTATAGTACTTCACTTAAAATACAGTGCGCCCGGTGTACAGTACTTATACTATATTAGTTGAAGCACATAACCTCTTATTTACTGTGTACCTTCTTCAAGTACTTAGACGTTTTTCACCCAGCACTAATACATATTAATGAAAAGACTGCAAGTGCGCAGACCAGCTGGTTGTAGCTAATCATGTCATTTAACACCTAAGACTGTAATTCGGAAAAAAAAAGCTTTTATTCGAAGAACAGACGTTCCCTTCTTTGCCTGTTCCCTTGACTAAAAGTTCTTTTTTTCTTTTCCGTACCGCAGTCTCCGGTGTTTAACGACATGAATGATCCATATGTGGCATAAACAATGTAGTATACGGCGCAAGTTGTAAGGAGAAGCCCTTTATATTATGGTAATGTTGCACATGTTTCGAAAGGGGGAAATAGCTTTTATGAAATAGCTGTTATTTTTTACACGCATAAAAAGCAGAAAAGTTACACAGCGTGCAATAAACCGACCAGGTAAGATTTATTCGACGTAGAATTTTTGTAGCGCAAGTAGCCATACGACATTCATGGGTTAAATATCGGCGTTTATAGCTGTATAGTTCCTCTATGGCGTCAAAAGAGATGCCGCATTGGGAGTGCACTGTTGTCATACATAATGGACACAAGATCTTCTTCGCCACAAAACTATGCTGAGTTGTTCCTGATCTCATTGTGCTTGGAATCGCAACTTGCAGCAAAATGATGCAGGCTTTGGATCTGATCCACCAGCGGCCATATCCTCACGTGGCTTCTTATGTGACTGGAGCTTTGGTAGGATTTGTCTTCCTGAAGTACCGCCATGTGCGCCTTAGGCAGGTACGTACGCAGGCTCGGATTACTCAGATGCCCCCATGGCCGAATTGGGACATTTCCAGCATTTTATGAGGTTTTACGCTCGTCACGCCTCTCGACCGAACTCCAAGTGAGTGAATGATTGAGTGAGTGACATAGTGTGTGAGCGAGAGATAGTGAGCTTGTGACTGAGTGAGTGAGAGTAAATGAGTTTGTGTCAGTGATTGAGTGAGCTAGAGTGAATGAGTGAGACAGATAGAGAGAGTGAGGGTGTTTGTGTGTCACTGACTGAGTGAGAAAGAGAGTGAATTCGTGGGTGAGTGAGAGTAAGCGAGTTTGTGAGTCAGTGATTGAGCGAGAGAGTCAGAGAGTGAGTTTGTGGGTCAGTGATTGAGAGAAGGAGAGAGAATGAATGAGGGTGAGAAAGAAAGATTGATGAAAATAATCCCTGGAGAAGGGGAACAAGGGGGACAAAGGACAAACATAAATCTCCAAACACAGCTAGGTGACTGGTGAGCGACCGAAAAAATCCGCTTGGTCCGGGTATCGAACCCGGGACCTCTCCATTACAGGTGGAGCGCTCTACCAACTGAGCTAACCAGGGGTTAGACGTCAGTAGAGCAAACGGGTTTTATCAGTTGCCACCAGTCTAACACGAACAAGGGTGAAGCTTGCAAGTTAAGGTTGTAATTATAATGCATTTAAATGCAAAGGTGCGAGCGAGCTGGACAAGATTGATGAAAATAATCCCTGGAGAAGGGGAACAAGGGGGACAAAGGACAAACATAAATCTCCAAACACAGCTAGGTGACTGGTGAGTTAGTTTGTGAGTCAGCGATTGAGTGAGAAAGTGAGTGAGTAAGTGAGTTTGTGAGTAAAAGAGAGTGGATGAATGAGAAAGAGAGAGTTAGAAAATACTTTACTAGGGGAAATACGTCCTACCCCGCTCATTTGCATTAGACTGCGCGCCTACAGCGCCAATTTCTCCCCTGACTGTTTAGACGTCTCGCCGTGCCAAAAAAAAAAAAAATATATATATATTTGCTTTAAAAATGTTTTAAGCACTTGCATCGACCGAACGGCCTGCATGCGGCGCGCCCTTTGCCCATTGGCGAACGCCTGATAACCGCCGACCTGATAACTCACCATAGAGTTATTACAACAACGCTAGAGGTTCAACTGGCGCTAGTGTGCTGCTGCAAATTGAAGCAGACAGCAACCAGTCTGAAATTCACTTCCGGTAATGCTTTTCTAAGGGAAAACGCGGGTGCATTTTCTCGCTGCGCTCGATTACAAGAGCAAATATCACGAATATTTCGTACGTACTAGGCACATTGAAACATTTTTCGGTCACGCAGACGAAATAATTGGTCAATTACGGCGTTTTTATTTGAAATTCGTGGCATGAAAAACGGTGCTAAAACCGTTTCGTACATGTATTTGTGTGCACTGTCGGACACTGTTAGCGCGAACACGGCGTCGGCAGGCGTCGGCGCTTTCCGCCATGGGGGATATACGTGTCAAACGAACGAAGGACATGTGGAAAACCAACAGAGACGGCAAAAACTACGCAGTAACACTGGATAAGGAACTCCTCGTGCATACAAGCGATAAAAAATATATTGAAAGCCACGTAATATAGTCCGATTTGCAATAAATAAATACTGCTTTATTCTTTCTGCTCGTGATAATGTGCGAAGATGCATCGTTCTGGGTTCAAATCATCAACCGCTCGCTTCAAATCTTTACAAGTAGGGAGAAGTCAGAGAACAGGTGCCCGATAAAAACTGCCTGCCATAGGAAATAATAAAAAGACACACCTTTTGTAGCCCACCTACTTTATTTTTTTACATTCGAATGGTAACCGATCATAAAGATGCACGACGGAGTCATATTCATAGAGTGACAGGACGGGCATATTAGCAATATATAAGCGCCACCGGAATGCTAGCGAACCTTGAACACACTCTACATTTCTTTCGATCGTTATTTAGCTCAGAAGCGTCGCTCGTTATTACATACCTGCCATAGAACAAAAGTTTGGGCTTGAAATATAGCGAAGCGTAACATCGTTCAATAGTAAAGAAAAATGCTGTAATTAAAGCAATTACACTTTTACAATATTAATAAAGGTACATACTATCCGGTACAACCGAAGTAATAAAAGTTATTCATGTTATTTTCCGGCGAAGAGACAAAATTCACGCGCATTTTCCCATAGGAATGCACAGGAGCACCGCAAAAGTAGACTGGTTGCTGTCTGCTTCAATTTGCCTCCCGGAAGTCGCATAGACACTAGCGCCAGTTGAACCTCTAGCGTGCATTATAATAACTCTATGTAACTCACCACTCCCGATTCAACCCAAGGTTGCTGGCTATCCAGCCATTCAAACTGCTCCAAACCTGTCTGCGCCGAGGCCATTGTACTATCGGGGAGTTGGAATGTATTCCCTCTAGTAAAGTATTTGGAGTTAGTGTGAATGAGTGAAAGTGAAACAAAGAGAAAGTGGGTGAGTTCGTGAGAGAGGGAAATATAGGAGGAAATTGAGAAGGTCCTATCTTTACTAAGCTAAAAGGGTCAAAATGAATATTTTGGAAGTAAACATGCTAGTGATGACACTTAGGCTTTGCAGGGCAGTAGCGATTATAAACGCCAAACAACAAATAAGCTAGTATCAGTCAAATCACTCGCAAAGCGCCCGTCAGTAGGTAACTCGGTTTTCTATGATTAGTAATTAAATGCTGAACCGCATGTAAGCGATTTAGCGAGCGGCGAGAACGAACGACGGCGACAGCGACGAGAGTCAGCGACGAGCGACGGAGATTTCTCACTGTCGCTCGCCGTGTCGCTCGGTTTTTGGATTTTTAAAAAACGTCGCTCATCGCCTTGGTCGCTTGCTCCTGTTGCTTTCATGCGGTTTGCTTCGTCACGCGACTGACCGAGCGACAGCGAAGCGGGTGGCCATCGCTTGTCTCGTCGCTCGCCAAATCGCTTACATGCAGTTTAGACTTTAACAACGCGTGGAATCAGCTGCTATCTTAGAAAGTGCATTGAATCGCGTGCTCTGGCCGCTGCAGGTGACCCGTTTGGGCCTCTGGCTGTGCTCGACGGTGTTCTGCCTGTACGGCGTGTTCGGCGCGTTCAAGTGGCAAAAGGGAGCCCCGCCCACCGGCGTGGACGTGGCCCTGTTCAACGGAGTGCACCGGACGGCATTCGCGATGGGCGTAGCCTGGGTGCTCTACGCCTGCGCTTCGGGTCAGGCAAGTGAGTATACTACGCTGGCTTGCTCACACCGACGGCTTAGGAAACGTGTGTGGCGTGTTCTGAACATCTTATTGTGGCTCCGCTGCCAACGAGATTCCGGGATTATCTGATAAGAACAACGAATCACGACCCGTGAACATTTTAAGCCACTCCCTGCGTTCCCTAAGATTTCGGTTACTAATATATAAAGGCCCAAAGTTTCTGCCTGATCAGCAGCAAAGTTGGTGATCAGGCAAATCAGGGATAAGGAATCAGACAGGCTTCGATGGCAGCGTCATGAAGCACGGGCCGTTCAATGTTGCAGTTCTAATGCCGTCGCAAACACGTGAAAATTAAGATTCCAGAACGTCCTTTTTGTAGACTACTAGAAGAAATACAAAATTTCAATGCAACATATATTTTAATTATTAGTCGTAAAGGTTTTATGATCAAAGCGGAACACCCAAGTGGAAAGGGATCATAGCTCTTCAACTTGCGATGCTCTAGTATTTCGTATTTCTATGCGAGAAGCAGGCCCCACAAGAACCTGCTAGTCGCATATACACCCCCCTCTCTCTCACACACACACACCACCTTTGTAGGAACATTAATGGCAACTTTTCAATAACGGAATAATGCGCATAATAATTCCCTTTAACATTTTTATACTTGGGCTCATGACCATGAGCTGACTGGCCTCTGCTTCGAGAGTTCACTTTTGTCCGACCAGAAATCATCGACCGGTTCCTGGCGTGGGATGGCTTCGTGCTTCTAGGGCGACTGACCTTCTCGGTGTACCTGGTCCACTTCCTCGTCCTGGTCACTTCGGCAGCGATGGCGAGAGAGAGGATCTACATGGCTCACTGGTTTCTCGTGAGATTCTTTCCATTTCTTCTGTCCCTATACTTTCGCCTACGACCTCAACCGGCTTGCTAGAAGAAGCCTCTCAGCTAAGACTCTCTGAAAGAAAGCCCAGCTGCCAAGCCTGTTGCGTGCGAGCTCTTGAAGGCCCGTTCACATAGTTACAACCGAGTAGGACCGGCTGAGACAAGACCGGTCACCATTGCTTTCTTTCTAACTTTCAAATTTATTGTTCCCGATGAGAAAAAAAACAATAAAAACAAATAGCGCTATATAAAAAAATGCCCTTACCTGAGTGAAGACCATTTGTGAAATGGGATTGTAAATGTGAGTATTGCCAAGAATAGCGACCGCATTTTTTTGTATTTTAGGGAACATACAACTCCTGGAGTTGTTTCGGGAAGATGATCCGCGCATGAGTGGACGAAAAACCGAGTAGAGAATTTTTTATCATCTTCTTTGGTGGTTCGCACGCCGACAGTTGGCCACTCTCCCCTCCCTCTCCATTCCAAATAGACCTCTTGGCAGTGTGCTGTCTTAAAGAAAAACTGAAGCAATTCTGTATTTAAGAAAAACACTTAAATCGTCTTCAATTGGCCTTCAGGACATCGAATATTTATATTAATTTTCAGTTTGGTGCCCGGAGACTACAGGAAATATTTTTTAGAGTACCGTTTAAACCCATCCTTCCCGGAGTGTGGCGTCATTTACAGTTTTCGGAAACTCTACTCTCGCACATCTTCAGCGGGAGTGGAGCACGCTGGCGGTGTCGCCTCTGTCGTCTCTTGTTCGTAGGGAGCATAGACTGTAGAGAGGAGCCAACTCAAACCATGGCGAGTGTTTGCTGTTCAATGGCAGACGCCCACATCGGATATTGATCGGAAGTGGGCATGCGCTGCGTTACTGTGTAGCGAGTATAGGAAAGCAGGGGGAAAGGCGAAGACGCTCACGGACGACCAACGCGTTCGTCACCTGTACCTCGTACTGCAAACGCGGCCCAGGAATCGCGTGACCCGACCGAGCAGTCGGAAATTCTCTGTAATACAGGCTCTTTGACTGTTCGCTGCCACCTAGCGGTTATCGCGCCGCCTACTCGTCGGAAAGCAATTGGGACGAATTGGGCGGGCCTAATGTGCCTGACATTATCACGACGGGATTTAAGGTTCTTACGAATCCCGCGAGGTTCTTACGTCTCGCAAAACTTGATCGAACGTAATCTGAGTGCAGCGGCTAAGAAGGACGTACCGATGAAATGTTTGCCGCTAGGGGCGCCCTGGTCGGGACGTGAGTTATGTCCGCTCCTTTCCTCACATTTTCAAAAAAGTCAGAAAAAGACGTCATGACTGGTGTCAGTGCAAGGGAATATACCTGGCAAGCTTGCAATTGCACGCGCTGTCCACTAGAGAAGCAAACGCTTGACGGCCGAAATATGCGTATGACGTAACGACTGGTCGGAGGGTATTCGAGTTTTTCTGCGTTTAGTTACATCTTCGGGAAAAACGAACGTGATATGCGGATTCACAGGGTAAAAATAATGTAAACATTAACTCTAACTCGTTTTTTTTTTCAGTAACCTATTAGTGTCCCTTTAAATGATACTACACTGTATTCTGCTGAATGAAAATAGCATGGTAACTAAAGGTGTATGCGTTACAAATGAATACATTATTTTTATTCTTACAGGTTCGAGGCTTTCTTGGCAACGTAATGCTGAGCTATTTCCTGGGTTTTCTTTTCTACTTGATTTGCGAGAAGCCATTTGTCAACCTGGAACGCATGTTGTTTGATAAAGTGACGAAGGGAAAATTGTCGTTGAAGGACCAAGACTCTCACAAGTCTGCAGGCCATCCCGGCAAGTGACAGTAAACGTTCTAAAATAATAAATAAAAATGAGACACTGGACCCGCACACCAATTGCAACTGTCAATGAATGTCATTCTCCGCGAGTCTAGAGGTGCCGTCCAAATTAAAAACGACTTGACGCAGACCGGTACATTTTAAACAGTTCATGTAGATTGTAATCCCACCTAGATATTAACGCTCCTGTAAATTTACAAAAAAAAAAAAAAAAAAAAAGGGTGCGGGTATTCATTAAGCAGGAGTAGTTTTTTGCTTTTGAAAGTTTGTCATCTGATTAGCCCAGTGCATACTTCCTTTCCGCTTGCTTGTAAACAGTGCTTCTGTCTGTCAAGAACTTTCAAAGGCTGTATTTAAGAATAATAACTAGGAAAATCCAGGATTTTTCGTGCGGAGGCGGTGTTAGTGTCATTCTTGTAAAGAAAAGATGTTTCTTCATCCTTTCTTTTGGCATTCATTTCTTTGGATCTTCCAATATTTGACCCAGTCATGAGGCTTTCAGGACCTGGTGTACCTCGTGAATATCGAAGTATATTTATTTAATCTTGCAGGTAATTGCGCGCCTCGGCCACGTCCTTTAAGCCCGGTTTGGCGAGAACAAAAAGTCTAGACATTCGAACAAATGAAACGAGTGTGGCTAAGCAAAAATGACAAAATAATTTATCCCGGGGCTTAGTATGATATTAGTAATACTCCCCAGAGGCACTAGAGCTGGTCGACACGGACAAGTGAGCCCGAGGCGTGTTTACGCGAACCGTCGCCTTGCGGACGTCGCCCTGGGATCCGCGTCTTCGGGGCCTTCTGTTGACGTGGGGACGAGGTCCCGCCGGTCCGTATGGTGCACCCGCAACCTGGTAACCGAGGCCACATTGCGGAGGGAACATGCCACCTGCCACAGGCATACCCCAGTTCGTGGGCATTCCTCCTGTCGGGTACATGCCCACGCCCCCCATGCACATCGACGGGTCCTGGTATGGCCCTGCAGACATGGCTGCATGCTGCATCTTGTACGGGTAGTCGGGCTGCGGATAGAAATTTGGCGGGGATGGAGACAATTTGCGTTCGTGCCTGTAGTAGGAATTCCTTCTTGGTCTTCGCTTGCGGACCGTAATGCTGGTGGGGCGATCATCTACGTCACTCAAGACCTCAGTACGGCTAATGAAGTTTGGTTCCTCGGTCGAGTGCCGCGCACCGACTGCCCGTGATCTGGACCTCCGGTTCCTCTTCGGGAGGGCCGACATGGACGCGGACAATGGTCCAAATGTCTCAGCCGATGAAGAACCTGAATTGGATACCACGCCCGCCTCTGAGTAGATAGGTCTTAGCTCTCTTCCGTTGTTTTCCGCCCCGTTGGAGGATGACCTGCCTTGACCCTTCTCTCGTGTGTAACGGTTCTCGGCAGTTCGTTTGTCTTTGATGTGCCTGCGGAAGGTAGCAAAATACAATTGAGAGAAATGAGAGTACGGCGTGTCGTTTTTGGCGGGAGTTCGTTCAAGGTACTAAATTATCAAGTCACACTCATGTTTCAGTATGTCGCGAAGAATAGTTTATTAATCGATGGAGCGCTTGAACTGCTTTACGAGAACTTCAGATTAACAGACATAGGGCGGGCGTCTATTTACAGAGGCTAGAGTCTTCTGAATCGCAACGTGATTGTGAAGATTCGAGCACAATAACATGGAAGCGCTTACAAAGGTCTATGAGTGGCTCCTTCCTGCTACCCGCACCGCGAATTTCGTGACCTTTTAAAGGTTTGTACAGAGTGGCCAGGAGCTGTCCTTGATGACTATTAGACGCCTGTTGCTCTTGCTGATGTTAAGCTATCTTTTTTTTTTCTTCCATCGGAACGGACAGCAACTGCCTGAATACGGCAAATTAAACAACACGAAACTCGTAATATTTATTGAACATGCAAGTGGCTTGATTTCGCCTAAGTGCGAGATATGTCATTTTTTAATCCTATTTATTGATTATATTCCGTTATTCTCGTAGTTATAATAGCCATAAAACACCTCTTAGTTGCCTTTGAAAAACTTACTGTTTTTTCTGCGAGTAGAGCTGGTCGAATCTACACCCCTACTTCCCCTTTTTCTAATTTGAACTTCAGCTGCGAAGTCATAGCTGTGCGTCATGTCTTGTTAATATATGGACCCCGTTTAAGTAATACCCCGCTATGTAAACAAACGTTTCAAGGCAAAAACAAGGTAAATACACTTATCTTCGTCTCGTTATTATGAACGACTCACATTATGGATGATTGATCTGGTGAAGGGGGCACGGAGGTGTCCATATTAATGAGAAATGACTGTAGCTACGACTTTTGGCTCGCAACTGCTGCAATATGAAGAACACCAAAGAGCAAAGAGCTATAGACAAGCTATAGACCCTCACTTGAGCTTCCTCTTGATGCGCTCCCTGCGCATCCATGGGTGCTTCATGGCCCTGGTGGCGGTGCACCTGTAGAGCACGATGGGTTCGAGCAAGTGCCTGATGAGGTTCGTGCACGTCTTAGATACTTTGTACTCGGTCGGGAAGGGAATCTGGCGGCTCATCTGAGCGCGCACTTGCTGGAACGGGTTGGAGTCGTCGAAGGGCAGCTGACCACAAACCATCACGTAGAGAATGACCCCCAGGCTCCACGTGTCGTGCCGCTTGGGAAGGTACCGGATGTTTTGGATCACCTCGGGTGCAGCGTACGCCGCGCTGCCGCAAAAGGTTTCGCTCAGCATCTTGCGTCGGTTCACGGGGTTGTCTGCGGCGAAAGGAAGGGGGACGTCGTGCCGCTCGAAAGCCACGAAGCTTTGTTGGGCGCTAGTAACGGACCAGCCTTATAGGTCAACGCGCTGTTTCAAAACAAGCCCGCAAGAGGTAGGGACAAACGGGCAGTTCCCACATGAGGTGGGCACACTGCGCATTCGCGGGAACCCGATTCGCATGAAGCGTAGCGTCTGCTCAGGCGACCTGCCAATGCGGAGTCCAAGTTCGTCTGCTTCTTGCACAGGGGTTGTAACGATGTCAGAACGCCCAGCTCTTACTGACTGATTGAAAACCAAATATATATATATAGTGAGTAGACCTTAAGGCAGCAAGCATTGAGGTCTATTCACTACCCTTTCATATCAAAGCCAATCAGAGCTCGACATCGTTCTGACGTCACCACAACTCTTGCGCTAGAAGCAGACAACTTGCTCTCCGGATAGCAGCGCCACTGCAGCGGCCTGACGTAAGGGTCGCGTGTCGGTGCACACTCCGTTTTATTTTGAATACTAGCGCTGCAGAAGCCACAAGAGCGAGCTCCGGGCTTTCAGCATCTCTGACAAGCTAGCACGCTCGTGCGGTGCAAGCATTGTTCAGGGCAACCTGCATGCTCATGCCTGTAGCTTCGGCTTCGCTCGTACAAAACATGAAACAAGATGTGGAATCGGCGATCTGTATAACGTGGGTGCTCGTTACTGGTAAAATACTCTTGCAGAAAAACAAAAAAAAAAAAAAAGATAGAAACCCCCGTTTTCGTAATATCTTCAACCTGACGACAATTTGAAATCTCACCCTGCGACCCAACGATTGACATTTTTTCTTCGGGTAATTACGAGTCCACTTCAGGAGGTCACTAGTGTGGCGGGTTAACGCAAGTATATTGAGTAATTTATTGTGCAGGACAGTAGTTTTTCTAGCCGCCTCAGCATCTGTGAAGTTCAGTGATCAGGTCAGAGCTCGACTCCCAGCATAATGCATTGTGCGTTTAGCTAAGATTACGTCTTCTGAATAAACAAATTTTATAGCTGTAAATAATGCTTATTCCTTCGCTAGGGCGTTCAAAAGACCTTGCTTGGCCTAGTGCGTAAATCAATATTTTTTTTATTATCTTAGTTCTGTAAACGAATGAGTTTCATCTAGTGATCATGCCAAACATAGAGTGCATCTATGCGAATCGTTCACTCAAACGTTTCAATGTACTACAGAAAGAGGCGCAATAGCGCTGCACCCTCAGAAAAGAATCTGGCGCACTACATAAGTACAAGTAGACGGTTTGGACGACAGCGTCTATTCTGTCGGGCCAGCTGATGAGTGCAATGAAGGCGCGAATCAACTCACAGACGTATCGGACAAAGGAGAAGTCTGCCAGCTTGACCTGGTTGTTGGGGTTGAGGAGGACGTTCTCGCATTTGAGGTCTCGGTGAGCGATGTGCTGCTTGTGAAGGTAGGACACCGCATCCACGATCTGCTCGAAGAACACGAACGCCTTCGTCTCCGAGAAACGGCCTTCGCTCTGCGTGCATGCGCCGCCATCGGTGCTTCGGGGTTAGGGATTGAACTGGGTACGCCAACCTATCTTTCAAACACAGAAATAAGATTGAAAAAAAAAAAAAAAATCCGGCTCTGACGTTACTCTACTGTGGTGACGCTGCTGTTGGCACGGCGAATGTAGAGAGCCTAGATTGTAGAGAGGGTCCACCTGGAACCATGGGGAGCGTTTGCAATTTAATGGCGGACACCTTCAACACCGATTGGTTGCAAGCGTATACACGCGCTGCGTTTTCGCGTGGCGAGTAGGAAAGCAGGCGGAAAGGCAGAGACGCTCCTCGCAAACGATCAACGCGTTCGTCACCTCCTCGTAGCTCGCATTGCAAACCCCGCCGATAAACCACGTGACCTTGATCGGGCAGTTGGACACTCTCTGTAATACAGGCTCTCTAAATACGAACACTTAACGCAAATTTGGTTTCCGCGCACGCGCATTGCACCGACCTGGCGTGGCAAAGGCGCGTTTGTTTGTAAGTTTGTAAACAGCGCGAGGGGCCTATTAGCGGCGAGATGTTTTGGTGGCGCCCTCCTATGGTTCCCTATCGTGACGTCATTACCTTGCGAACAACAAGTTTGATGGTGTTTGTAATTAGTATGGTGGAAGCCTGAAACCGTTGCGCTCTGAAACCAACACTGCCGACACCGCCAAAATAGAAGGTCTTCCATAACCCTTATTTCCGTTGAAGAGAGCTCCTTTGCTGACGTCATAGTCAGCATTCGGCCAATCATGGAAGGCCGACCACAGCGACGCTTTCGGTCGCGCACGTCGCCAATAGACACAAGGCGAAGGAACAGAGACAACTACAAAGCTAACGAAACAAGCTCTACAAGCGAGCGATCATTAGTGATGATCAATCATCTTAGAGCGCAGATTTTAGGCGCCAGTTTTCTGCTTGAGCGGCGTCGGCGTCGCCGTCGGCGTGACTGCGTACGTTGCATCATGGGAATAATACAACCGGGCGTAACCGCGCGTTGCATTATGAAAAATTTCCCCGTTAAATTTAGGGGGGACATTGACGTCATGTGACCTCAACACCAATCCAGTTTCCCCGCTAAATTTAGCGGATACATTTTCGCTATTTTCGCTAAATTCCCTGCCAAATTTAGCGAGAAAATGTTGGTAAATTTTCCGCTAAATTTAGCGGAGAAATTTTCGCTAATTGTATCGGGAAATTTAGTGAAAATTTCCCGCTAGATGGGAAGGGAACAGAAAAGGACGAGGGGAGGATACGAAGGGGGAGAGCGGCATACCCTCCCCTCCGTACCCTCCCCTCCTCCTCCTCAAGAGCTGCGCTCTAATTCGGTATTACAGAGAATTGTAAACGTCTTTAACATTTTACAGCTTGTTACGTTATAGTAATACTTTTCCCCGTTTCTTTAGCCTATGCCTTTATATATATATATATATATATATATATATATATATATATATATATATTGTCACGAGGACATCATCTTCTTTCATCGTCATGATACACACCATCATAATTACATTCATTGTCTTCATATATATATATATATATATATATGGGTTCTTCCATGGAGTTATTATAATGTACGCTAGAGGTTCAAGTGGCGCTATGTGCTGACGCAAATTAAAGCAGACAGCAACCAGTCCAAAATTGACTTCCAGTAATGCATTTTCTATGGGAAAAAGTTAGTGCATTTTCTCCCTTCGGTCCATCGAAAAAGCAAATATCCCAAATAATTCGTACGTACTAGGTAGCTTGGAACATTTCTCAGTGAGGCCGACGAAGTAATTGGTCAGTTACGGCATTTTTCTTTCAAATTCATCCCATTAAAAACGGTGCTAAAACGGCTTCGTGCGTGTACATATGTGCACTGTCGGACACTGTTAGCGCGAACACGACGTCGGCGCTTTTCAGCATGAGGGATATACGTGCCAAACGAACGAAGAACATTTGGAAATTAAGGGAGACGGCAAGAGCTACGCAGTAACACTGGATCAGGAACTACCCGTGCATGTACGATCGAAATAAATTGAAGGCCACGTAATCCATTCCGATTTTAAATAAGTAAGTACCGCTATTCTTTCTGCTCTGAGAGGAGATGTTCCTTTTACGTTCAAAATATCACCCGCACGCTCGAAATCTCTGAGATGAAGTGCCCGTAAAAGCTGCCCGGCAGAGAAAACAATACGAAGAGACACCTTTCATAGTCCACGGACTTTTTTCTCTGCGGTTTGAATGTTTTTATCCGCTCGTACGCGACGGGGTCATTTTCATATAGTGACAGTACTGGCATATTATCAATGTATAAGCGTCACCAGAATGCTGGCGGGCCTTGGACACACTCTATATTCCTTTCGGTTGTAATTTTGCTTGGAATCGTCGCTTGTTTTTACACACCTGCTGCGGAACACACGTTTGGGACTGAAATGTAGCGAAGTTAAATATCGTTCACTGATGAAGGAAAATGCGCTAACTAAAGCAATTACTCTTTTATAGTGTTAATCTAGGTCCATACTATTCGGTACGACCCAAATAACCAAAGTGTGCCGTGTTATTCTCCGGTGAAGAGACAAAATGCACGCGCGTTTTCCCATAGGAATGCACGGAAGCATCGCTAAAGTAGACTCGCTGCTGTATGCTTCAATTTGCGTCACGGAAGTCGCATAGACACTAGCGCCAGTGGAACCTCTAGCGTACATTATAATAACTCTGTGGGTTTTTCCACATAGTTAACGGGCAGTAGCGAGATCTAAAATAGCGTATATCGAAAAACTTTACGTCGTCGCCACTCCGCACATGCCAAGCTCAGATTGTTGCTTTTGCGAAGCTTTTTGGGTCTTCTTCTAGAACTCGCTAGTACAATTAACTATTTTTACAGCTTGTGCCACTGCCGCGACGCCAGATGAATGCAATTCTGGTGAGTTTCTAATACAGTGTGGGTGCTCTCGTTACTGTGGCACACATTTTCCTAGGGTTCCAGATTTCGCTCGAGTTAGGTATTGGACACGAATGCTAAGTCAGCATGTAGTTGGCGTGTAGTCGGGTCCAATCACAGACTTTGCACTGGAAGCGATGCCCTAAACATAGCGAAAGCCAGGTGATTGCTTGATGGAGCGGATTTACTTTTAGTACACAGTAAGCCAATAGCGTAATGGACGTCTGCTCAAGGAAAGTTCTGGCTTTAGCGTTAAAGCCCCTCTATCATGGGCTTTATTTAGCGTTATATGTGCCTAACCTTTCTAAAACCTCTTCTTTATTTTATAACCTACATTGATTTTTCTATTTTTTGTATTCTCAAGTGTACTTGCATGAGTGGCGCGAGCTTGCAAATCTCACTTAAATCTTTTGAGCTGTACAATTCAGTCAATAAAAACAAACGCAAAAGGGCGGACGCTTTTTTTTTTTTTATGTTCACGAGAACTTCGGCCTTAACACAAAAAAAAAAAAAAAATCGAATAAAAGATTACTGTCTAAAATTTTCCCCTTCCCATTTTTCTACCTTACCAAATCGATAAAGTTCTTCACCACTAATTTTTGTGCAGTAAAATAAACGTAGAATTAATATGGGTGAACAGTAGATACCGCATACCACATACCGTAATTTTCTGAAGCAGGTTTCCCCGGGTGGCGAGTTCCATGATGACGAATGTCTTCATCCTGATTTCGAGGATGTCGAACACTTCGATGATGTTGGGATGCTTCAGCATCGGTATGATCGCCAGCTCACGAGGAAGGAAGTGGAGCACGTACTGGCGTGGCGCCAGATGACGCGGAATGATTTTCACTGCATACCTCTTTCCCCCCTTGACAGCTAGTCTGCAAAGGAAGGTTGTAGACAGTCCATTAGACGACACGCGCAAAGTCATATAGGTGCAGTGCTCACCAAACGTCTACAAAACGCCCAAACTCCGTCTCGTATCATGGGAGAGAGCTATTGTGTCGGCGGCCAAAGGACTCCTCTCTTACGTTGAGCTCGATGGAACATCTCGACCAGTGGAGGCCGCTCGCTTATGGTCGAAATTGTGGCTGGAGCGCGGACACAGCCACAATTTTGCCGGCCGGTTTAAATGCACTTACTACCACTGTTTCGCGCGAAGGAGCGCAGGTGACTGCGAAAGCCGCCTGTGATTGGAGGACTCATCAGTTGGCACAGTGTTGGTACTGATTGAGTTATCCAAGGAGTAATGATTTTGCCAGTCACCATGCTCCGTAGTGCAAGGGAAGGGCGAAATTGCCCTCCCCTTGCCAGAATGGCAAAGTTGCAGTGTTGTATTGGTCCGGTCTTGAGCGAGGGGCCTCGCCTGCTTGAGTTGTCCCATTGAGCGCTACGTCATGTAGCGGTTCTTCGGTGACCGCCAGGGATAGCGCTCAAATGAGATAAGACACAATGGCGTGTCCTGTATAAATGTTATGAGCAGTGTCTATTGAATTACGGTTGTTTCGCCTGTCGTTTTTTAGATTAATTTTTGAGCAGAAATGTAAAAATATGTTCGTGATCTACCTAAAACGAATCTCCAGGCAAAGCTGGAACCGAGAGATATGACATGTTACCTTTAGTTGGACGTAGTATAATCGTAGCCTAAACATTATACGTCAAACTCTTAAGTCAATATTGAGATAATTGAAGTCATAAATCAGATTTTTAGAGAGATGTCGTGTAGTGGGCGTGATCGCTGATAAGTCACATTGCAGAAAAGTTTCGTCATTTTTGTGCAACGTGCAATCCCGATTTCGTCCGAGGTGACGACGAGTTGTTTCTCGGATGTGAGAAGAAACCTATAGTGACTGTGGTACCTGCGACTAGTCTTGTACACGAATTACGCGCAAAAAGTAATCGATTACGATTACAATTACTCTCGGTTTAAAAAAAATATTCAATTTATATTACTCGATTACCCGGGAAGAAAAATAATCGGACGTCACTCGATCGATAAAGTAGCCGTTACTTTTCCGATTACTTCAGATTTTGAAAAGTACCAGATCTTTCTATCGTTTCCAAAAGGGGTCTTTCGTTCTGTCTATTATATTAGATTAGAATCACCGATTGCTTATCTTCTTAATTTATAGATTTTGGTAAACCATCCTTCTTTAAAAGATTCGGTTCAGAGATTTCTTGGAAGAAAAGTTGTACACACAGGGAGTCATTAAGAGGGGAAGGAAAATAGTAATGGTTAGAAGTAGTTTGAGTGCTTCGAAAAGTAATCAGATTACCCTCGTAGTTACTTCCTAATAAATGTATTCGATTGATTACAAAACTTCTTTAAATGTATTTGACTGCAAGCAATTTGATTATTTGTAAATGTGCAGTATAGGTCTGCCTGCTACTCAACAGAAAAACTGACGTCACCTTGGCCACACCCTAATTAATACCCTGCTACACGCGTGCACCTTAAACAACAGTTAATTGTGGCTGAGGCCAGACATAACCGAGGTTAAGGGTGCCCGTCTAACTGGTGTATAGTTGGCAGTAACTGTTTAAGATTTGCCGTGCATCTGCAAAACCAAATTTAATGTCCAGATTCTTGTCAACTATACACTAGGGCTGGGCGATTGATCGACAGGCTTAGCTCGACAACGGACTTTTACGGGGTCGATATTGGGCATTCCTCCGACTGTGGTTCCCGTCAAACTATAGTGAGAAGAGGATGCGTCTTCCTCGTTTGCGAGGTTGAGACGTGGAGCGGGGGGACCTGTCGGCAGCCGCAGGGCTCGGCGTGGCCTTTCCTCGGCTCGCGCCAAACGTCGTCCCTGCCTTCGAATAAATTCGCCGGATACCCTCCGATAACTGCGGAGCGCACAATAGTCGAAACTGCGCGCAACAACGGCGGCGGAGTAATCCAAAAAATACAAAAAAGAACAAAATAAGTTTTTTTTTTTTTTTTTTTCTCGTTTTTTTATATTTAGGAATTTGGGGAAACTGCAGTTGGTTGGTTCGAGGACACATGAGCGGCGCTAAATTTAAACCGATAAGTCCCTTGACAGGGAAGGGTCGTGGCGTATCCTTCGCCACTTTTATTTGCGTCAGTATTAAAGGGCGATTCACCCACTTACGTTGGGTCCAACCGAGAGCGAGTGTTGCTATGGCAACAGTTGCGTCGGCTCCAACAAAACGTGGTAAAAACCAGTTTTGTTGGAGCCCACGTAGCTGTTGCCATAGCAACCCTCTCATTCGGTCCGACTCATGCAAGTGTGTGAACCAGCCTTTAGACACTTCACAGACGTGGATGAGTACGCCAATATGATGGGCAAATTAAGTTGTTAATTATTTTTGCGTAATTAACTTTTTTAATATTGTGTTGGATGGTTTAAATTAGAAAATTGCTCAGCATCATCGAAAAGCACTAAATCAACAAATTGCAGGACGGTAGAAGGCACGCGAAGCATTTTACGGCTTTCTGAAAAACCGCACAATATCGACGGGTTTTTAAGTTTCGGTTTGCAATCGGAGCCCATCTCAGCCCCGGCGGCACCGCGCCCCGTGGAGAGATAGTGCAACCAGCCTCTGCTGCGTCGCGCGATTGAAGTAAGCACGTGAAGTAAGCACGAGCGATTGCAAGCCTGCCAAAGATACCCTCGCGTGCATGATGCTCGTGTTTGAGCATAGCCTCCTTTATTCTACAAAGCCTCTCAAATCGCAAAAAAACTCGGGTTTGCGGCTTGTCGCTGTCGTTTGTTTTTGTCTGTCGCTTTAGTGGGACACGGGCATAAACATCCTACAAACGAGTCTTCACGGAAATTCGAATGCGGTTAACCGTGAGATCCGTGCTTTGAATGTCACATGGCAATGAGTCTTATGAGAAATATTGGCACGCGGCATTCGAACCACGGATATAGCGGCGACTCGTGTTTGCAGGCTGTCTTTTCTATAATATATGAGCAATGTGATCCCGGCTCGGCGCTCAGCCTCGCTAGCGGTCCAAACCACATGCCAAAGTTTCTAAACTAACCGTTATACTATTCAAAACTTGTGTGACTAGGGTGACCGCCCGTCTTGCGACTCGCGGGACTGTCCCGCATTGAGGGCTTGTGTCCCGCGTCCCGCGAGAAATTCCGAGATCTTCAAAATGTCCCGCATTTCACACTTTCGTAAAATTTACTCTGCAACTCATGACACTGCCCATCAACGGGGCACGGTGAAACGCCGAGGTCACTGGTGATCATGCGAATCGCAGTGGTATGCCATTTTCTATCCAAGCATTGCGGGAAGCGATCGTGGTTCTTGCAGGAGATCCGACTCGCATGCGCCGTTGTGCCTCTCCCTTTGGTGGAAAAATATCATAAGAAAAATATCTCGCCAAAAGTTTAAATACAAAATATTATAATTATTTTCAAATTGCTATGTCAATGTGAAAGGGTTGCTGTGGTTTTTTTTAGTAAAAACAGCCATGCTCGCAACGATAGAAAAAGAACATAATGTTAAAACATTTGTGTAGGACCATGTTGGTAAAAGTAAGCGTTGACAGGAAACAATGACCCGAAAAAGATTTACTGTTTATTATTTCCATTTGATGCATTGAGTTATGATACAGTAAATTGTTCTGTCCTAAACTCGGCACATTTCTATCATGTTTGGCATTAAAAAAATCGTTAGAAAACATGATTGCGCTTTCAAGACAGGGACTAGGAAGAACAGACACCACAGAGCGCTCTGTGGTGTCTGTTCTTCCTATGTCCCTGTCTTCAAAGCGCAATCATGTTTATAGCGCTCTGTGGTGTCTGTTCTTCCTATGTCCCTGTCTTCAAAGTGCAATCATGTTTTCTAACGTACCATACCAACTTGCCCAGCAATCAGCACTTGTCAATTAAAAATATCACTGGTAGTGGAAATTATTTGAGCTTAATTGCTGCAATACAATTAGCAGGTGTATACGCAGTACAGGATAATCAACGGGTTAACAGAGCCTCGGTTCGTTGTGTGCGTGTCCATAAATTACCTCTACCCCCGCCCCCCCGGCCACGCGTGTCCCGCATTTCGCTAACAGGAAGGTGGTCACCCTATGTGTGACCTTTCTAAAACTTTCAATGGGAAAATGGAGCCCGTTCTTGGTAACCGGCGTCATTCAGCTCCATGTATGGGACGGCTCCGTCGGCAGCCATTTTCCTATTGAAAACGTCAGAAAATCGCGTATAACTTTTTGAAATATAGAACCCTAAAAAAATTACGCTCTCTTACGGTTGATCTCAAAACGCTGCAACGTGGCATGCGCAAAAGATACCGTAACAATGGCAAGTCAACCAATTGTATACAATCCCTTCGAGAGGAGTATTATATCAATTACAGACTTGACGGTTTGCTGGTGTGTTTTGCGCACGTCACTTTGCAATATTTTTAGATTGATCGTAAAAGGCCGTGGTTTTTGAAGGGGTTTATAGATAACGGTTAGTTCTGAAACTTTGGCGTCTGGTTTTGACTGATAGTGCTACATTTGGACGGAGACTTCGCGTTCGGCAGTGCATAGTTTATTTTTGCGCCGAGAAAGACATTGTCCTTTTCTTTTTTTCGGGGACACGCCGCTCTGAGGTGGGAAGTTTGTGCGTGTACCTGACTTGGGAGTAGGTGCCCTGCCCGATCTGCCTGCCCACGATGTAGCCGGCGAGTGCGAGGAACTGCTTGGAGCTGACCGCCTTGGCCGGCAGGTTGGGCACAGTTCTTCCGGCCATGGTCCCGGGGTCCCTGAGAGCTCGGCTCAGCGGGTCTTCAACCGACTCCGAGCTAACTGCAGGGCGGCCATGGTTCGGCCGCGCACTTCGTCGTCACCTTCTTTGGCGGGGCGCGTCTTTAAATCAAAGCTCCAGAAAGCCAAAAAACACAGTTTCACTACGCCGCCGCTGCCGGTATGCATCGTGGGAACTGTAGTAGGCTGTACTAAAGCCCCTCGATGTGTTTGCGCTTGTCTTGCAAGTAGCGTCAAATGCGCGAGTGCACGAGGCCCATGTCTCGAGCGGCCCTTGGAAGCAAATGGCGGCGCAGCACTGAAATGAGCGGGCCTTGGAAGCGAATGGCGGCGGAGCACCCGCTCATGGCACGTTTCTCGAGCGCTTCCACAACAATGGTTGGCGGTACTTGTGAAAAACGCTTTTATCAAGGGACTTTAGGCTGTACTACAACTGAGAGGTGTGCCGACCGCATCGGCATTTCCATAGGAGCTGGGTGTCGAGTGGCCCAATTCTGCCGCAGGTGCCTGGGGTGGCGCTGCTAGTCACTGCGGGCTAGGGCGCGTGTGTATGAAGGCACTCTACTGCGGGGCGTGGAGGCCGGCCAGGCAGCGTTTAGCAAGGCTAACTTGGGGCGTGCCGGTGTGACTATTTCTTTTTGCTTTGCGTTGTGTGGGAAACAGCCACACAATATTGTGTGGCTGCTAGCTGTGCGGAAGAAACAAAGGACTCACAACGATGCCAAATACGGTGAAGAAAAAGACAGCGGTGGTGTTTTGTGTCTGTGTGCAACGTGGGTTACAACACATGTAAAGAGAAAGACTCCTTGTTTTGGGGCGCCGAGCGACGCCTTTATGTCCGCGGAATGGGATCGTCTGATTACAAGGAAAAAACAAAACTGATGAAGAGGAAAAAAAAAAAGAAGTCCAACACGATTGTGTGATCTCTGACCTATGTCAGAGAACGCAAGTTTTGACAAGGTGGATTGCACTTCAATAAAGATGGCAGTTGAAGTAACTCCATTTATCTTGCTAGCCTTTGTGTTTATTTTTATATGACGGGTGGTCATTAAATGAAATTAATTCAAACATTTCCTGGTCCAAAAAGCTTTGGCTGAGAATACAGGTCAAGAAAAGTTCGCCTTCATTATTTCTGCTACAAAGAAAAGGTGTATTAACACACACACACATGCACACACACACACACACACACACACACACACACACACACACACACACACACACACACACACACACACACACACACACACACACAACTAGGTATTTTAAGATCAGAAAAATGCACACCTGTAGAAACATAATTAAAATATCTTTGCAACTAGGAAAGGAAGGCATCGCATGCCATATCATACTCAAACTTCGCTTTCCTAATGCTGGTATGTTAAGTGAGAAGGACACTTTTTCTTCTATAACAGGAAAACAAAAAGGAATAATTAAAGAAGCGAGACTATGTAAGTACCTAACCGCTCCCAAACGGCATTTGCACTCCTGCCGCTCGCTCAATTAAGTCACACTTCACAGGAATGTGATATAGGCGGCAACGTATTCTTTCTCACAACCGAGCAGGCAAAAAACAAACGAAGAATACGATCATTTTCACGCCGACTAAAGCATCTCTGTTGCGATGTGATCTATATGCCGTGCATTTTGGTGGTGCACTCGTCGTCCTACGGTGTTGTGTTCCGTGTTTGCTGTTACTGCCTCGTATGTTTTTATTTTTTTTTATTCTACTAATTACTTCTGTACCGCCTAATACTATGCTTAAATTGTTTTTTCTTTTATTTTCATGAAACACATCATGTCTCAATTTCTGAGCCATATGTAGTGTGTAGTGCATTATATTTCTGTATTTTTATGTATAATGCATTTTTTATTTACCAGTGTACCAGCGCTAATTTTACTAAGATGTATAGCCAACAAGCCCACCAAATGATTATAATACAGCACCAAGACCTTAGAGTTGTTCCTGGGTACTGTACACTAAATATTGATTGATTGCTTGCTTGATTGATTGATTTATTTAGTAATATTAATATTACAGTTCACATATAATTCCCCCATACCGCGAGTCCAAGCCTCGATGCCACTCCCCTCCTTATATCTCCATAAAGCGGTTTAAATAAGCGTTTTCTGCTACTACCACTCAGTCAGTCAGGAGACGTCTTTATTAAATAGAAGATGGTAGAACCGTCAACACTTCATCGATGTAAAAAAATTAATTAAAACGTTCACTAAAAAACAAAAAACAAAATCGCTTACAACTTCTGATTTAGATAACGGCGAGCTTTATAACTTTGGCTTCTGGTCCACGGAGCATTAGCGCAACTTCTGGGTGGAAACAAAACGTGTGGCAATGTATCAATATATATATATTTTTTTTTTTGCACCTTGTCTTATTTGAATCTGTTGTACAGGTAAAACAAACTCGCGCAGCACACGTAGCCATGTTCCTTTTTCGTGCATGGGTAATTTGGCAATGTCGCCTCTGTCGCCTATTGTTCGTAGAGACTCGAGAGCCTAGACTGTAGAGAGGGTCCAACTCAAACCATCGAGAGTGCTAGAAATGGCCAGCTGAACTGAGGCATATTGCCATTTCTAGCAATATGCACCAACAAGCTCAACTAGAGCCTGTTACTCATGGGGAGTGTTTAGTTTGATGGCAGACGCCTCCATCGGAGATTGGTCGCAAGCACGGTAGTCGCAAGAGGGCATGCACTGCGCTATCCTGTGGCAAGGAGGAAAGCAGGCGGAAAGGTGAAGACGCTCGCGGACGACTAACGCGTCTGTCACCTGTACGTCGTACTGCAAACGCGGCCAAGGAACCACGTGCCCCGGTCGAGCAGTCGGAAATTCTCTGTAATACAGTAGAGTCAAAGAGATCGTTTTCACCGGTAGGTCCTTTTTAGCCGCTACACTTAGATTACGTTCGCTCAAATTTCGCGCCACGCAAAAAAAAAAAAAAAAAAAAAAAAGCTTTTGGAATTTTTAAGAACCTTAAGTCCCGTCGTAATAATGACGGGATAGCAACGGCTATAAAGGACCTACCGATGAAAATGATCTCTTTGACGCTAGGGACACCCCGGTCGGGGCTTGACGAAATTTTGACAACTTGGCAACCACACCAGCGTAGTCTGACCAACGTTACTGGAGCAAGCTCAGTTTCGCAGCTCCCTATTCTCGCCTGTAGAGGCGAGTGGCCCAGGTGGCGGCCACGAGAACTAGCGGCGCTGCAGTCGGATCTTGCTTCCCTGTCTCGAGCGTTGCCTGCTGCCACTGCTAGAGTGTACTAGGATGAACGAGTTGGACAAGCTATAGGCTCCGCTCATGCTTTCAGTTGTACCTCAAAATGTGGAAAGCGATCAGGTGGAACCAAGCCACTTCGATCGCAGCGCCACCTTCGCTGTGATCGAGCAACGACACAGGTCAAGATTATATGGGCAATATAGCCCCGTAGGGGCTATATTGTGTTTTTTATGATTTTGACGTTAGAGGTAACGTCAAGGCACCACGACACGACGACGTTACGCGACTCCAAGATGGTGTCGTAAGGCCGTCATGACATCGCGTCGCGTCGAGGACGACGCCGTTAGGCGACGTCAAGTCGCCGTTGTAACGCGGTCGTGACGTCGCGTTGAGGACAACGCCGTTACGTGTCATCAAGTCGCCGTTGTGATGCGGTCGTGACATCGCGTCGCGTTGAGGACAATGTCGTTACGCGAGTCGCCCTTGTACCGTGGTCATGACGTCGCGCGCCCCATCGAGGACGATGTGGACGTGGTCGTCGAGGCCGACGTTGATGTCGACGCCCCACGCAACGTCAAACATCGCTATGACGTCACGTTAACGTCGTCCTGATGTCACCGTGAGCGTCAACGTCACGACGAAGCCTTGACGGCGTGTAACGTCGTCGCCTTCGCCAGCATCAGCGTCGACGCGCAGTCACGACGAAGTCCTGACGTCGTTTAACGTCGTCGACGATGTCGAGCGGGCTGTCTTCGTGACATCGAGTGGCGTCATGTCGACAACGACGTCCACGAACTAGCAACAAGCGTCCTTATAGGGGTATCCACAGAAAGGAGAAATCCCGGGGATTTCTCCACGGCACGCGCATCTCGCGACGAAAACGTCAGGCTTTAAGCGCGAAACACATGTACGACGAAAACCTTCCGATCCGACGTGCGGACTGCCGGAATGACCTTGGGGGGAGCGGGTTTTCGTAGCATTGGAGAGCGTTGAAAACCCTCGCCTCCGACCGTCGTATTGCGCGGTCGGACGTCGGATCGGACGGTTTCGTCGTACATGTGTTTCGCGCTTTACGATGTGCAAAAGCCTCGCGTTTTCGTCTCGTGATGCGCGTGCGCCGGGAAGAAATCCCGGGGATTTCTCCCTCGTGTGAATACGCCTTATGCCGTTGGATGGTGGTATTGTCTTTGGTCGGCCCCGAAATGCTCGCCTATTCAAACCAATGTTAGGCCAAACTCTCCCAATACACGGCTGTGAAGCCGCCGCGCCTTGCGCGCCTTCGATTGATATGCGGATATTCGAAACAGAAAAAAATACTTTATGCAGCGCCGCGAAGTCATGGCGTGACAAAACGCTGCGGCTGCGGCCATGGACTACAAGGTGCGGGCTGGCACATTCTTCTGTGGGCAGGTCAGGATTACAGCAGGTCGGGATATTGAAACGATCATCTCACACCATCAAGATTGCTGGTCTCAGCAGCCTATAAATCTCAGGTTGTTCTGAGCATGCGCAGTGAACAGCGCACCCAAATATGGTGTCAAGTCATAAGTCAATGTTGTCTTGCGTTATAAACATCTGGTGGCGAGTTCTTTGCTATCAGAATAGTAAGGCTGGTTCACACAGCCCCGTTTTCTTACGTTAGATCAAGTTAAGAATGCTTACGCCGAAATTCACAGGGACATCAGTGTTTCATATGAAGCGTGGCTACTAGTTCAGGGAGATAGCCTTGCAGGCGACATTCGATACACGAATGTTTCGGCGGCATATAAAAAAAAATTAAAAAAAACGGAGTTATGTGAACATAAAGTCACTGAATCCTAGGAAAGTAGCGCCGTTGCCTTCCCTGCCTGCTAGCCGGACACAAACAGATACAAACATACAGACGACCAAAACCTCACAAGGTGATTGCCTAATCGGTGTCCGTTGCCACGGCAATCGCCATTTTGTCCCCTTCATATCTTCGAAGCTTCGAAAGGACCGTTCTAAACGAGTCGCAACAAGATCATCATGGAGCATCATCGTACTGAAGGCGTTCCTCGACAATATAAACGTCGTTGGCACTGTGCTTATCAGTCATGCCCATCTGCACGGATCTCTTACAATGAGAAGGTTTTTGTTGCGTATTTCAAGACAAAATTATTTTTCAGTGCCCCCAAGCAGCGACACCGGATGTGGTGGTTATACGGAGATGTGCATACGCCTGTTTCGCCGGTGTGTGGATAGAAAAAAATAGGTATACTAGAAACGTTTTTAGATCGCACCTGTCACCGGCGAATTTAGATTGGCTCTCCAAGAATAGAGAGGTCAATGAGAAACTGCTCATTTCCAGAGCCAAAATAGCGACTTTACAAGAAGCTTGGCGCTGCTTTCTGAACATCTAGTGACTTTATGTGAGCCAGTCTTTAGATTGCGCGGTTGAGAAGTTCGCCATCTCCCAGAGCGAGGCGGTTACGCTTTGAGGGTGAAATTTATGTATGTTTATGGCCAATCGTAAATCGAGGCCATACTGTCGTAGGAACATGTACTGACTTAATCGGCAGTGTGAGCCTTGTTGTATCCGGGAAGAGTTTTGGAACGCAAGGACAGTACAGATAAGAACGAAGGAGAGAGATATAAGGTTGATGAGTAGGCCTCCGTTATCAAGAAACATACAAACGAACAGCTGGAGGCCTCGCGATTACCCAATTTGTTTTCCCATCTAACATTTACTGTATTTTATTTGTCGATATTCCACTGGCATATAAAGTAGCGACTTAACAAAAGAATCCGCCATAGGATCACCATCGAGCCATCGGAGACGTAAGAATGAGGACGTGGGGAATTGTTGTGTTGTTGGGTGCATGCTTCGCAACGCTGGACCAAGCTTCTGGTAAGAATATTTTCTAACAAAGAGATGCGCACTATTCCTGCTTACAAACTTCGAAATGAGTCAAGAAACACGACAGATTGAAAAATAACCGAGCCAAAATAAACAGCAGAGAAGTATAGGGCAAAAAGCAGGCGTGCAAACACGTACTATCGTGCACAGAGCTGTATGCCACACAAACGGTGCCCGTTCCGTAAAACCAGCGCCCCATGTTCTCCGAGAGAAATCAAACTTTGTGATTCCTCCTGCAGATTGATTGTCCTTTTCAGTTTGTGATCACATCCCTATTTAGTCGTGTGTTGCAGTCTAAAAAAAAAATAGTTCTTGAAAGGTTTTTTGACCCCCAAGAACTCTTCTAGCTCGTGATGGGCGGTTTCGCTTCAAGTTACATCGCCCCCTGGCGCACTAGAAAGGCAAAAGATGGGCAATGAAGAACTTTTTTTCGCATAAAGAAAGAAGTTTAAATTAACCACTCATAGGTTTATCACGAAGAAACCTTTTAGGGGGTGCTTAAAATAAGCTTTTTAGTGCGCAAAACATGGACAAGCCGAGGAACCCCTAGAGTTCTTTTACCCCCACACATTTTGTTTCAGAGTGTGGGCGCGAAGCAGACGACGCTTCGGCTCATGGCAATGCTATGTCCAACTGTGTCCGTGACACTACTATGCAATATTAAAGGGATACTTCAACGGAATTCGAAATATACCCGTCGTGTTCAGAAATAGGCTGAATACAATCCACAATATCCGTAAATGACAACCGCACGTTCATATTTTCAGCCTGATGGCTTCATTTATCGTTATAGACGGCCCACTTTGGCAAATCCGCAGCGAGTCCCATGATATTTAAGTCCCGGCCGACAGACTATGCAAATATTGCCTTCTGGGCGCTGCAATCTTCGTCTCCAGGACTGTGGAACATCTTCTGAACATGCGCTGTTGCCCTGCTGTGCGGCATGTCAAACGCTGCGCAAGCGTCTACAGCTCAGTGACTCAGCATTTTTGGCCCGGGTGATAAGCGATGCAAGGTTCTATAGTTTTTGGTATACTTCACCCCCGTTTCACGACATCATCACGCTCTACGTTTTTGTTTCGTTAGTGTTCTCTTATTGGTTTATTAGATAAAAGCATGATACGTCCGACGACGACTCGGCTAATACTGGGTTGTGTAGTACTACCGAGTTCAATATGAGCTGAAACAGGTCTTCATACTTCTTTGGCGTACCTGCCTGTTATTGAGGATGCCGTGGTCCCATACTTCGGGCTTTTTGAGAAAACCAGAGATAGTCGAGCTTGTGGTGGCCGCAGATGCGGAAAAAGGCCGGATCGTGTGTTTCAGGTCATACTGAACATGATAGTACATCGCGTCACAGATTAAAATTAGACCTGACATTTGTAGTCGAAATGAAATCAAAACGAGCGTGGAACTAGCTGCACACAACTACTGCATTGCTTCGCGCACATCACGCAATTAAAAACAATACTCACCAGGCGCAAAACGTTGAACAAGAAAAAAACGTCCCGGTTAAAAAAAAAAAAGAATAAGTATCAGGTTGGCGGTCGTTTCGTTAGAAGACAGCTCCTTTTGCAAGAAATATAGCTCACAAAATAAGTAAAATAAAAAAAGGTAAACTTTAATAAAAGGATCGTAACGTACCCCTTTATGAATAATGAGGAAGTAAATGTTACGTTCCGGCTCAAAAGTCGCTGTGGCGACCTTGCATGCTTTCCTTGAACGTGATATCGGAAGCAATGGAAGCCTGCACTCAATCTGAACAATTATTTTGTTTCGGTAGCAGTGTTTTAATTTGTATATTAACTTTCTAGGTTTGGGCCCTCACTTTCAATGCCACAGAAAGTGAGGGAGAGTGTTAGATGTTGCTATTGTTTACGCACACCTGTTTTGTTTGCCGAATCTGTTTATGAATTTTTAAGCATATAGGAAAGATTTAGTGACGTAACACGTGAGGAGGAGACACTTCAGGTTTGCCTTTCTTAGGTTTTGGGGAATGGACTGAGAGGGAGCAGCATCCAGCGAAATGCACTCGAATGTTTCCTTCCTCATGGGTAAGCAATGCCATTACTTTCTGAGATTGCCACAAAAATTCTAATTGTACGAAGCTATTCACTTCAGTCCTGGATCAGAGATTGCAAACTTACTTTCAAAAGGTTAATTACAGATTACAGATTACATTACAGATTACTTTTCTGAAAACTGGAAAATGTAATGAAATTACATTACAAATTACCGCAGACTAAAAGTAACGATATTACCCAACAATTAGTTTTCAAAAGTAATGGAATTATTTTGACATTAGATTTCAATGCTTTGAGGCAGTAATTCGTGCTAATTTTATTCACATGTACCAAATCTCAGATCTTCCTGCTCACACCGCAACAGCCTTATGCGGCTCAAAGTGAACCATACTGAACAGTCGATTTTGCTGGCGCACACAACATAAGTGTCAAACGTGATGAATAGCTTATTCTTTAGATAAGACCCAAAGACAGTCGACTCAACGGTTCCGCGGTGAAGGTCCTCAGATAAAGGGTGATATATTTCCGTCTTTCTGATTTAGTAGAAGTTACAGTCCGCGTCAGTATGTTAAGTCGGGCCATGGGAGCAGTGGAGTCACTAGGATCAGCAGCACCCGGGTCGGTGGTGCAAGATGCGCGCTGCAGAAGGTTCGCGCTCAGTACAAGACACGTATTTCGGAGACACAAATTATTCTTGCTTGGTGCAGCATAGCAGGGAACGGCGCAAACGTCTGTCACTATGAATACGCGCTTTGTGGCAAGAGTGTTTTTGCAAACAAAGTAGTTTCCGGGGTCACACTTTTTGGTCTGTGCCGAAGGTGCGGGGTAGAGGAACCTTTAGAACACGCTATGTTTTTTTGAAAGTACCCCCCCCCCCCCCCCCCCCACACACACACACACACACACTTTTTTTTTTTTTTGCTGGCTTTTCACAGAATATTTTTAATCCTGAGGGACTCCCTCCTCTGTTTGAGGGTGTTAATTCGACCAGTATGTTTGTGTCACTTGTTATCAGTAATCCTCCATTGCGTGTATTTTGCACCCAAAGACTGTGAAGTATAAACAAAATAGGGAGGTGTACGAGGCACGGGGAGAAAGGAGAACGACACTGCTGCGAAACTTAAAGCGGCTGCCAACGTTCGGTTGTCCACGATAGACCTTTCTTTTTAGCTATTCCTCCCGTACACACGTGTAGTTCTATGTAACGTCTAATTAATATGAATGCTTCTATTCTCGGGGACAACTTTCTCGGGCTGTACAGCAACAAATTCCAATGACGAAAATACGTTTGGGTGCCTCAGCCTCAATGATGTGCACACATGTAAAATGGGTCGTGCAACACTTTTTGTGTTTTCAGTAAATACCACTAAGAACTAATTCCTGACGTTGATAGCTTGCAAAAATATTCATTAGTCTTCCTCTCCGCGCAATGGCAGACGCAGAAAAAAGAGAAAAAAAGAAAAGAGGAAAGCAACAGCTTTCCTCTCCTCAACTGGTAATTAGAACAAGCGGCCACGTGAACTGACACTGACTATATATACGTCAGTGTTCATCATAGTCATGCACTGGGGTTGGCAAAGCATAGAGCATGGGCTGAGCTTCAGATATTGTTAGACTTAGGCTATTCTCACCTTTGGTTGAACGTTCGCCATTTTCCGAATATTTGGCAATGCTGATTGTCATGAACCCGAGCGCTCGGTTCAGGCTTGTGATAATCGAGTACGTCAAGGTGTTACATGACTCGCGATACGAAGTTATAATGTCATGTGACGTCACGGTGTCAGCAACGCGAATGCATACAATGAAGTTCTCAATTTAAATCGACTTGACGAAGTAAGTGAAGTGACTACATCACGTGACGTCACATGGCCACTTGACATTACTTGACAGCATGTTTTGACGCCATGACATCACGTGACTACGTCACGTAATAATAATCAATGTGCCAATACAAAAGCAATACGAGATCCCAGAATTTCTCATCAATTTCCATTCTGTATATGACGATATGATCGGTGCATAGAAATACAGAGCTCTGCCAATTTTTTACTCTCAAATATTTATTTCATGGTATTCAAAAAGAAAGAGTACCGTGAACCGTTTTGAACCGGTTACCGTAATATTTTTTTCGGTCCAGTTCCGGTTCAGTTCCAAGATGGCGGCGAAGATTTTGATTCGTTTCAGTTCCGGTTCGGCCACAAATAACGGTTCGGTTCAGCTTTTCGGTTCAGTTCGGTTCCGGTTCGACACGTTTTTGGTTCGGTTCGGTTCCGGTTCAACACTGATTGTAACATCACTCGACATCAGGAATATGGAACCAGTCTTCATGCGATGAACGTCGCCCACGTTCGGTCGTTCTTAAGCCGGGGTCATCATACAAAAGACAGTGTGCAAGCAGATTCGAACGCGAATGACGGCGAGATCCGTGCTTCGAATGCCGCATGGCAATGAGTTTAGGTAGAAAACTGGGCACGCCCGGCATTCGAACCATATATATTGCGCTGACTCGAGTTTTTTGACTGTCTTTATGTATGATGTATGAACAGTATGAATCCGGTTTTAAGGGCAGGTTTGCTTTCTTCATATTGGAAGCAGGTGATAAAGATACGCTTGGAACACGCCTGCACACTTTTTATGTACGACCAAGATGGCGGGAGCGTCATATAAGAACGAACCACGCCTCGGTCGGTGTATGCAGCTGTCTTTTTGTACGACCCATTAGCAGGGCGACCCCGCGTCTTTATGCTTTAAACAGTTCATCAGAGGAAACATGTTCGCGACATTCATCCAAAAAACCTTTTTATTTCTCCTGCCGTCTTCCCGCAACACAAACAAAACGACAGAACTGGATCGGGAAGTACGCTACGCATTGTAGGTATCTGTGCAGGACTTTTCCTCCGCGCTACGAGGATGAAGAAGACAAGACACCATGCATGGTGAGTTCGTGGAATACCACAAAGAGAAGACAAGGCCGGCGCATTTGCACGCCGTTCTTAGTGGATCTTCAGCCCGCTGAAAAGGGGCCGAGTTTATGAATTTATTATGTACATACTTAAATGGAAGAATCATCAAGCAAGAAGAATTTATATCAGGCTGAACACGAGAAAAAATCATTGGTCTTCTAAGTAAATCGAATAATTTAACTTTTTTTTCTACCTTACACTTTGTCAGTTACGTAAAGTCCTATTGCAAGATAGAAAGTAAAGAAGACTACACCGATTACCATGTCTTATCACAAGAAAATCAGAACGGGAATAAAAAACAATAAATGAAGTATTTAAGCTAACTATGAAAATCAAGGTGCTGTTCTCCTTATATGCCTGTTGATAAAAGTGTGCTTTACATTTACAATATTTTTTCCCGCATTTTTATCAGTGATTGGAAGGTTTGATGAATTAGTCTACCATGTTGAAATATACATCTGAAAAGGAGTCACGATTTTCTAGATATAGTGTGATTTAAAAGAAGATTAATCTGATTTAAATCAAATAAATCTTATTGATTTTTTTCACAAGGCTCATAATATTTTATAATGTTTGTTTCAGTAGAACGTTCCTATACCTCCGATCTCACGGATAACGGTACCCGATAACGAAACGGTGCATGCTCAAAGGCGATGGCGGATCCGTACCGGGTATGGCTATCACAGCCATCGGGCAGATCTACTAAAACTTTCTACTGTCTAAACGGCAATGGTACCTTGCAAACAAACCCCTTCCGAAATCTGATCTAGCAACATCGGCGGTTGCCATTCCTTGGGAACGAACCGTGTACACGGTGATCGAAAACAAATCAAAGGACGAGGACAAAAGAGGAACGTACACGACGGGACAAGCGCCTTTTGTCCCGTCGTGTACTTTGATCTTTAGCCCTAGTCTCTCGCCCTGTCTTTAAAGGATTTAGAGTAAAGACGTAGACGAGTTGGTGACAGATCATGGTAGAAAAACCCTGAGACAAGGAGCTAAAAAGGACAAGAACAACACCGTCTGAGACGGCGTTGTTTTTGTCCTTTTTAGCTCCTTGTCTTTGGGTTTTTCTGCTATGTCCCGGTTCTTGCATGGTCACATTCACCGTACACATATACCAACTAGCTCAGCTTTCAATTTTATTACGAAGCTTGTGATTAGATTCGACTCCTCGCCGAGCTACACCGAGTACGCGCCGAAGGATGACACAGTCCTCGTGTCCAGTATACATGCTCCGAGTGCGCGCCCAAGCAATGCTGGATTTCGGATAATTGGCTGATCAGCCACTAGATGGCGCGCACTTTTGGAAATGGCCTGTTACAGGAGATATGCCGGCGAATATCACGGTAACTCGTGGGCAGTGTATGCGTACTACTTTTTTAAGAACTCGTGGGTAGAGCTGTAGAGTCAAGAGTGCGTATACAGTTTGCCTGACAAAGCGCTAAAATGAACGGGCGCTCGCGCGATTGCCGCACGCATTAATTTTACGTGCTAGCCCCTCTACTGTCTCGGGAACGTTGCACGGGAGTCTTATTGGGCGAAATGCACCGACTCATTTATGTTCTTTAACAGTGCCGCGGAAAAATGCTGGCGCGAGGACAGAATTTATTTGCTGCGCGCTGTGCTTAAAACCAAGCCTGGATTTCCCTTCTAGAGAAACCTTTGACAGAGAGAAAGAGAGAGAGAAAAAGGAATGACTCGGAGGTGCCGCTTGTGGATATAAACATTTTTTGCAATTACTCCAATGAGCGAAGTTTTTGTGACTTTCATTTGTAGCACAAGACCTTCGATTTTGTGCCGATATATGCGTTCTGCATCGACTCCGTAAAAAAAATTAATGACGACGTTTACAAACCTCGGTCACCAGGTCTTTCAGGTTTCTCGGTGGCATTCGAGTGACAAAGACTAGCGACACAAATATATGCGCACGTTTGAATTCGGAAACTGTGACCGTTTCGTGAAACTGTGTCGTGATCTCGGAATCAATAACGTTTATTCGACTTCTCAGGCCCGCGCTTTCTGTTACAGGGATTTAATGTGTTCGGTGTTTGCCACAATGGCAAATGCGTGAAAGAAGAGGACTTTCCTACCACTCCAGCAGTGTTCCCCTCCAGCTCGACGAGTGACGAAGCGGAACAGCCAAAAGAAACAGTGACAGAATCTGAAGAGCTTTTCACCACGCACGAAACCTCATATTCTGAGGAGACTTCAACCGGAGCGGCCGTCGAAGGTGAAGTTTCTTGCCTTATACTGATAACCATAGAAACATTGTATCGCGTCTACTTGTGTCAAACGCAAGGATGTGGATAAGAGCCAAAGCGATCTGCAGAGAACGCATTTTAAGAAACCCGACAAGCAGTGAGACACTGAAGACAGTACGCGATATGTCAAATTTCCAAGCACAGGACGTATTTAGGACGACAGCTAAAGCCTTGTAACTCTTTAGGGTTTTATGCGTACGCCTCTGCGATCGGATATTTAAAGCTGGTTCACACATTCGCGCTTGCTTATGACCGAGTTCTTGTGGCCTACACGACGAGAGAGCACACTGGCACGCTGGCGCCATCTATGAGGTGGCCCCGGAACTACATTTTGCTAGAACGAAGGTTTTGCAGTATGTGCACGATAAAACGTACGTACTATTTATGGAAAAAAGGTCGCTAATAATATGGCCAAATTATCTTTTTTTTTCTTTTCTTTTCAAGCCAAGAAAGAATGATGCTCTATAAAAGTTGTATGGTAAATTGCTGGGCAGTGCTCTGGCATACATGAAACGTTCTAGCATCAAGTCACATTTGATGACGTAACGTCAATATCCCTGTGAAATTAAGCGGGGAAACTGAATTGGTGTAGGTCAGGTGACGTTAAATTTTTTACGAAATCTAGAGAAACTAAATTGCCGCATAGATCTCTTGACGTCAAGTCACGTGGCGTCAATTTCTCCGCTTAATTTATCGGGGAAACTGAATTGGTGTGTAGATCACGGGACGCCAAATTTCCCGCTAAATTTAGCGGATGATTTTGACGTTTCGTGACCTGATGTCACGTGACCTACACACTAATTAAACTTCCCCGCTAAATTCAACGGATAAACTGAATTGGTGCCTAAGTCGGTGAGAGGGGTTTCCCCGGGAAATGAAATCAGGGGGGGGGGGGGGGGGGGGGGGTCTAAATTTTTAGGGGCATTGAGAATAGAGGAGTCGTTGGGAATTAAGGGAGTGCCGTCGGAAAAACAAGAGGGGGAGTACACCCCTCAGGGGGGGGGGGGGGGGGGTGTAAAAAAATCACTGGTCGGTGGCGTCCCATAATGCAACCCTGCGCGCTTCACGTAATGCGGCTTCACGAATTCCGAAGCAACTAGCCAAAGAACGTTTCGTGTTGAAAAAAAAAAAAAAAAAGAGAACTATACGGCAATTGCAGTTAATCCACGGCCACCCGTTAGATGGAGCCAGTGTGGCCTCTCGTCGTAAGATATCGCAAGAGCTTGCAAAGCACTCAGTCGTAAGCAGTCGCAAGTGTGTGAATGAGTCCCTATTTTCGCCTCGAAGAAGTAGGTAGAATGTCACTGACAGCCCATAAGACAGGCAGGTCTTAGGGAGGCATCTTATCATCGATCCGCAGTTGCGGCTAACGCCGCGACTGCGGATTTCAGCGTTTAACGAGAAGAGCGCCGAAGAGCCAATCACGAAGCAAGAATCTAAAGCATAATAAACCACGCGTCTCATAAGATGTGAGTAGCTATAGCTTCAATCCCGAGCCAATTCGAAGCTACGTGGTATTTTGCTGTAAGGGGCGTGCAATTCTTCTTGTGCCACAAGCACGTCCAACATTCTTAACCCGTGGTTTCTAAACCATTAGGGATTCGACCCGACGACCCGGAGCTCTAATTGTAGTCCATTTTAGGGTGACACGAAGCGTAGGTGATCTTGGACGGACTCACGTAGTCCGAACAGTTATCTAAACTCTGGCACGGATGTAGGCACTACGTCTGACTTCTATGGATAGTCCACAACAACGGACACGAAACAACCTTCTATTGGAGTGTATGAGGTAAGCACTAGAGGCCAGCAGTCCACCAAAAGCCATGGCGGGGACGAGATGCCCGAAGAAATTACGCCGTCAAGTGACCAAGTAGTACTGGCACTGATAAACCTGCGACAAAAACAACCCACATCCGAACTGGCACGTCGCACCTAGTGGGTTGTCGAGTTCACGATATTGAAAGAAAAATCATAATTGCTAATAGTTACGTCGCGGACCAACTGAGACCATTTGATCTAAGATATCAGTTGCACTGCCATGGGACTTCACCACGTAACGGGGCATGTTGGTGTTGTTTTTGGTTGCTTTAAAAGGGTAAATTGTTGCCACCTCTATCAAAGTCCAGAACACAACGATAGTATGTAAAATAAATAAAGAAATTGTATAACCTGCTCTATATATCAGTCTCCATCTACGAAAGACTTTACGAATTGAGTGGCATACGCAGGTGTCGGCACGGATCAGCTGTAGAAGTTGGCATAAAGGTAGCGTTTGTGAAAGCTGTAAAAAGTGGTGTAAATGTTTGAGAACAACGTTCAAAGCAGTGTTAATCCGAACGATGACCACCACAGGTAGTGACTTCACTGCAGGTAACCTCATGGACACAAATTTAATCAAACTACCGAACATAACAAAACTGCTAAAATATACGATATTACAATTTCAGCCCTTAATTCAGAATTTTATTGATTCGACGAATTCCTACCGGACAACTTTGCAACTTAGAAATAACCGACACGTTGCAAATTTTATTTACAGAGGACATCGAAGTCACAACAGCTCAAGATGCTTCCACAGAGAATACTGATGTGGCAGAAGACTGGCCGTCTTGGGATGACATATAGCACGCCCAGCTTCTTGCGTTGATAATGTAGCCAGAAGCGCAGATGTAGCCGAATGTCTGTGTGGCACTTTGTGTGTAAAAAAAAAAAAAAAAACTTGACACAGTGATTTATAATAAAATGTCCACTCCGACATGCGTCCTGTTTCTTCGATAACAGCCGCTTACTTCTGGCGGCCCTGGGCTTACATCGCCCAGAAGAGGGGTTCGTGGGTAGAACTTTTAAATTGAGCCAGTATAGTTACTGAAAGAAAGAGAACGGCAGGGAGATCTTCCAGTTGTCCCGCCACCAGCGCGTACTTCCTCCTTCGATAACGCTTCGGTGATTCGTGAGGCCCGAGCGTGCACGAGGAGCCATTGCTCGACAGAAGAGAACGAGCGCGTGCTGGAGACCGGGCATTCGAAAGAGGACCCCTGCCGTTCTCATCCCTTTGATGGTTCTCATCCCGTAAAAGACGCATTTAACTCCAGCGGTTGAATGCGTCTCTCACACACTCCTTTCACTTGTATGGTTGGTCTGTTCAGCTGGTTTCTTCTAATTATTATAAATATTATATAATATCTTGTATATGTAATTTTTGCAACTGCTGTGTGTCTGTAAGGGGGCTAAGGACCCGTCAACCTGCTTGAATAGCTTTTCTCTCAGCTCCCACATACTTATATGGTAAATAATGCTTATTATTATGTTGGCTGGCGATACCGTTGTGAACCGACCTGACTTTGAACCGACGTTTTGTCGTAGAGACTGATGCCAGTGAACTAGGCGTAGCAGCGGTTCTCTGAGGAAGGTCCGTTTCTGCTGAGAGACACCAGCCGGTGTCTCTCATCAGAAAAGTGCTAACCGACGCTGAGGAGAATTACGTAGACAAAGAGGGGTGGTTATCATTTGAGCCCGTTCTCGTTTCGCCCTTCTCACTTGGTCCTTCTCAAAACAACTATTCTCAAAAAGATCTTCTCGCTCTGACCTGTCGCATTTGGCCATTTCCCGTTTCGTCCTTCGTATTTCAACCCCCCTCATTTGAGCCCGTTCTTTTTTCGCCCTTCTCACTTGGCCCTTCTCAAAACAACCATTCTTCTAAATAGCTCGCTTTAGCCCAGCACATTTGACTCTTTCTCCTCCAAATTTGGGCTTTTTCGGGTAATATATATTGATAAATTCACTAATATTTTCTTTTGTGTGTGTGCACCACGCTACCGGCTTATTCTCTATCTGCCAATAATTTTAGCCGTGCGTCGTGGTCGTCGAGAAAAGATACTGCCTGACAAAACAACAGACCAACTACATATCGCAGACAGATCACACTCCGAAATGTCATCTTCTTTGAGGTGGCTCGACTTGTGACAATGCAACCACTTTTATAATGTACACATATATGCTATTTCTGTTCAAACAGAGTTTCCAAGTTGAGTGTTCATCGTTTTCTTTCTTTTCTTTGCGTTCGTTTTGAGAAAGGAAAACAGCTGGGCGTCATTGTACAAACCCATTACGTTAATTTGTAGTATTTGTATTTTTGGGGGGTGAGAAGTGTGTGTGTGTGTGTGGGGGGGGGGGGGGGGGGGGGGTGACGAGAGATGTTCGTCGGTAAAAGATAGTATCCCTTTCTTCGAATGCAGAAAAATGGATTCGACCAAGCTTAGGGGTGGGGTTAGCTATACTACGACTCTATATTTGATGGTATGTTGGGTGCCCAAGCAAGGTAAGACTCGCGTACAAAGCCGCGAAGGCATAATGAAGGCAGAAGCCTGCCAAGCTAGTCCCATTCGGTCGTTGCGCGAACGGGCAATATAAGAATAAACCCAGTTGCAAAAAAAAAAAAAAAAAAAAAAAACGATTCGGATTTTGTGAGAATGTTCCACCGAGGCGGACCAAGTGAGAATAGGACGAAATGCGCAATGTCCAAATGCGAATGGGACGTTTTCAGATAACGGGCAAAATGAGAATACGCCCAGTTGAGAAAAACCTGATTCGGATTTTATGAGAAGGTTCAAACGAGAAGGACCAAATGCGAATAAGACGAAATGCTCAAGGTTCAAACGCGAATGGGACGTTTTGAGATACACCCGACAAAGAGGAAGTGGCCCGGGCAGTAGACAACTTTAGGGCTTATCTCGAGTTCACTAATTTTGAGATTCATTGCGACCCCTCCTCTCTTCTGGATGTTCGCTACTGAACGAGCCTGTCCTCGCGTAAGGCGGTGGGTCTTCTGCCTCCAGGGTTTCAGCTGTAAAATCAGACACCGGAGGGGACATACGAACATCCCCGCGGATGCACTCTGCGGAGCACCTGTCCAACTCATTGATTCGCACGACTGCAGCCTTCTCAATACACTTTTCTTCATCGCAGCACCCGACCGTGACTCACGAATCAGTTTTGAGGCGGACGCGACAACTTGATGGATGACATCAGCCTACTAAATGAAGCAGAGAAGCTCGTCTCTGAACAGATTAAGGACTATCTGCTGGCCACTCTCACGATGATCGCTCAGCGTATAGATCTCCCAAAGGATGCCCCGAATTTTCGCTTGCTAGAAGACCTGGCAAAGACAACTGTGGATGACACAACTGGACTGCTTGTGCAGCTGAGAGGGGAAAAAAATAGGTGCACTAGCGTCCGAACCACCTCCATGGACTGGCCGTCGCCGAACCTCTTCATACCCGTTTTCTAAAAGTATAAAAGAAATATAAACGACAGTTTTATGCACGGCATCTTAGTCTAAGTGTGGTTTTATTATGTAAACAAATATTTTTACTTACCAATCGGAGGAGGGGTCGTTATCATGAGAACCGGATGGCACAGGACTGAGTTTTACAAATGAAATTAAACATGCAAGGGAAACAAACACGGAAGCCGCATTGCCAGGGACATTAGAGGGTACTTGACAGGGGGGTAAAGGTGGGTGCATGAGGAGTAGGGGTGTCGCGAACCGGCGGCGGTTCGAGTTCGACCAGGTTCGAATATTTCGAACTTTTAGTGAAAAGTTTGACGAACCTTCCATTGAGGTTCGACTCGTGTGCGCATGCGCGACAGGCTGGCCAATTGACTTCGGATTGGATGATAATGGCTAAGAGATGAATTAAGTGCAGCGCTGATTGGCTATTTCAGTTAATACAATACTAAACATAAATTATTAACTTCTTCATTGATTAGAATTAGTTTATTTTAATTGCAGCTGTTCGCAATATAAAATAACTCTTTGCATAAAAAAAATTCCAAACGTAGACATGCTTGTATCAAGATCTGGCCACACTGTGCACAAAGTCGAACCGGTCGAATCTGGTGAAAAGTTTGAAGGTTCGTCGAACCGGTTCGACCCAGTCGAACTCCGAAAGTTCGACCAAAAGATCTGGTTCGACAAAAGTTCACGACACCCCTACTCCTCTCTAGGGGTGTCGACGAACCTTCGAGAGGGAGGCGACGTCAATCAAGGGACCGGGAGCCATCCAGCGACCTGGATGCAGGGATGGGTTCATGTTCCGCGGCATTGGTGCCACCGGGATCTTGTCCCGTAGGCCGTAGGGCCAGCAGCAGCTGGTTAGTCTCACACTCCGATGCGGGGATGGGGATGCCGAGTGAGCTCAGGACGTCCCGCCCACTCAGTGTGAGGGCCAGGTGCTCCCGCTGACTGGCTAGGTGCGTGTTGATGAGTCCTTGAAAGGCGTTGTTTACACCCAGCCATCGGAGCTTGGTGTTTGCCGCGTACGGCGGCACCCCCAGTGCCAGCTAGTACGCCTTGCCTTGCACGTCCATCTTGCTCTTACCTCTCGACCGCAGGTTGAGATACGGAGTTGCGTAGGTGATGTGCCTCACGACGAGTGCTTGGGTCAGGCGGATCAGGTCCGAAACTTTGAGCCCGAGTCTGTGACTTGTGACTCGGCGTACCAAGGAAGCTTTGACCACGCCGCGAAACCGGCAACACTTGCTTTCGACGAGTTGTTCCTTTAGATACGGCTTCACGCACATTGCACTCTCAAAACACATCCACACAGCGTCGATTCTTGGTCGGTATCCAAGCGTGCGAAGGCACAAAGACACGGCACTTCGGCGTGCCTAGGAAGCTTTGAACACGCCGATCGAGAGACCGGCGAAACTTGCTTTCGACGAGTTGTGCCTTTTCCACGTGTTTTCAACGGCAAGTATCACGCGTCACACAGGATCTTAAAAATCTTCGGCGAATGACGACGAACGAGTAGAAAACGTGTCTATAGCACGCTGGAAAACCGCAGCAAAACGCTAGCAAAACGAAAACATGTACCATGCAAGATGGCCGTCCGGTGGCCGCACTCGCGGAGTGGGGATGCGCGATCCAACAATTGTCATTGAGATCAGTGGTTGGTTGATGCTGTGCAAATAGCAACTCCAATTTTGAGAGGCTTGGCTGTTCGCGACTCCAGCAAAACAGGCGGCACCTAGCGGGAAAAGACTGAACTGGCCGGTCCTTCCGCGATTTCTGCTTGTCTCTTGTGGATGCCGCCATTAGATGTTGTCGGTGGTTTGTGCGATAGAACAGTTGTCCGGGTGAGTCTGTCGTAACTGCATTGCGTCATCTTGTTATTCAGGTTGCTCTGAACGCAACGCATACGTAACCGCGTGGACCAGACATTTCGCGTTTATCAACGTTCATCAGCTCCGTACGGAAGGACAGTGGACAGTCCTTTCAACGCTTCCTCGAGGAAGTCAAACCTCTGGAGGCTCGCCTGCGCCAACACATCGCCGCCGGTTCGAAACGAGGAGGACTAAAAATCGGGGCAAACCATTTTGAGTCCAACGGTTGCTTACAGATGCCCCACCCAGCGTTGTATGTCTGGCTCAGTGTTGGACAACATAGTCGACAAAAGTATTTACGTAACTAAATACCTGCTTCGTAAAGTATTTAAAATACTACTCAAGTTACTTTCCCTGTAAAGTATCTTGAGTAGAGTACAAACGCTTGGAAGTGTAATTCAATAACTGTTGAAGATATTTCCGCTTTGCGTAATTTGCATCAACGTCAGTGACAACAATTATACAGTTGCGCAAATCTGGTTTACCAGAATGGTTTATTAGCACGCAACAACACAAAACAAAAAAAAAAGGTGTCGTAGGGCTATTTATGCAGTCCGACGATAAAGAGCAAAATATTGTCACGAATAACAA